AGTACTCTTTGTTTTATATATACACTGACTAACACTGGATACATTTATAGTGCTATGCTGCTTATGCTTCATCAGATTTATCCAAAAAGACTTTAATATCTAATCAAGTCATCAAACTTCAAACCCTAAAATCTTGAATAAAGTTTGTTTTTGGAGTTAGACACCTTAATGGCCCAATTACCCTAAATAGGATTTCTAAATTACATTTTACTAAAGTTTTTTTAATGAAGATTGAACTCCCAGCATCAACGTCTATTTCAACGACTTAACGACTTACTTATTGTTACATATAATATTGACAGATCAAGAACAATCCTGCTCTGACTAGATTACTGTGGGGCCACATTGCTGAGAAACCTTATACATGAAGCACAATCTATTTCTAACTCCCAAAATACAATTTAATTCATCTGATTTATTTGAATTTGTTTTATAATTAGATTTTATGAAATTACATTGTGAATCTCACTACAGCAAAGCCTAAGTATTCGCAATAGTGTCATGTTTTGCAGTTGTGGAATGGTGAGGTAGACGCAGTGGACCCAGGTAGTAGAGAAAATGATGGTTTAATGACAAATAATGCATAAAATCCAGGCAACACATGTGAGCAGAAGGCAAGGAGCTCAGAACTGGTTGCAACTGGAAAATACTGCTAGAGACAATGACATTTGACAACTGGATAGATGAGGACCCGACAAGGAACAAGAGACACAGGTGAGATTAAATACATAGAGGGTAATCAAGGGAACGAGACACAGCTGGGATCAATTAAGGGGGGCAACACGAGACTCAACTGACACAGAAACTAAACACACAGAAAACTCAAATCCTCACAGTTAGAGACCACAGCAAAACCTTAAGAAACTGAAACACCTGAATATGCCCCTCTAAAAATGCTTATAACTGCCTATTGGTATAGCTTAATACGCATTAAAACCCACAGTAGAAGCAGCCCTAGCATTACTGCAGAAGCTAATATCTACAGTCTTCCTTATTTCTGCTCATGGGGATCAGCCAATCAGTGCCACGGAAAATGAGCTGGCGTTCCTGGACTGCCAGCCAGTAGCATGTCAAGTTGCATTGCACCAAGGCATTTCCGCTTCCTAATCTTTGGAATTTTCTTTTGAATGCTCTAGATATCTTCTACAAAATAAAATCTGAAAATAGTCAAAGTCTCTGCAAATAATTTGGAGTCACGTTCCACAGAAAAATCACAGGTGAATCCACGAACACTGAGCCGTGAATAAGCAGAGGCCCACTGAGCATTGACTATAGCTGATTATGCATTAAGCTAACTGATTTGGATTGAATTGAACAGTGCCGTTGAAAATATTTCTAATGATCCTAATGACTTGTGACGTTGTGATGGATCAACCTTTAGATCACAACCGACTAAGGGAGAGAAACCTTGACGGTGACTGAGAAAGCAACATGGTGTGGACTGTCTTCTCCATTTGGGAAGCATCTAAAAAACAATAAAACCAGATGTTACCGAAACCCCACAGATGTGAGGATTCAAGGCTGAGATCTGGATGGCATATTTGAAATTTGCCGCCCCCGACCACCAAGTCGCTAAAGGTTCCTCTTCTACTGAGCAACCTTTTAGCTCAGTAAAACAGGAGTGCAGCTTGTTTTTTATGAGTACATTGTGTGAAAACAGCACGGAGGACGGACACCTATATGAGATGGGGAGGACTCCTGGCTTAGCGAGCGAGTGTGTGTGGAAACCACAGTGACGTTCCCCGGCAGATCAAAACAACTGTCCTGCCAGGACGGGCCTCTTTGTGGTTTGTTTACAATAAGAACTTTTCCAGACAGCAGGTGCGCACGCCTACGTGCGCCGAGAGCAACACGCCTCCAGAAAGAATGTGGACTGCACTTCAAAAATGTGGACGTGAAAAACCGAGGACCGATTCCAGCGCACGTCCGTTTTTCAGCTGTGGCAAGCAAATAGGCCTGGTCACCTGTGACCTGCCACCCGGCCCCAGCAGCGTCGCAGCAGAACAGGAACCACGAGTCAGGCGTTTTTATGTCACTGTGACACGTTTTAAAAAGTGAAATGTCTAGGAGATCAAATAATAGGACGGGTTCCTTTTCTTTTTGCGTCGATCCTGGTTCTGTCTGTGTGTGTGTGCAGGCAGGACAGCTCTGAGACGGGAAAGGATGATGGAGCGCCGCACAATGATTCATCAGCAGACAACTTGGCTGTCCTCCCCTCGACTCTGTCTCCGTCCCGATCTCTCCTGGGATCTGAAACCCTCGACTGAAGAAGTCTGATTGCAAAGCTCCTCAATCATCTCCCGCAAAAACGCTAAAAGGTGCCTGCTCAAAAATGCAGCGGGTTTGGCAGTCGCGGCGGAAAGGTCACGGGTCTGAGGAACTTTTAACTGGAGGAATGAGAAGTACAAAACAGATATCCAGGCTGTTATCCTGAAAAATGATTGATCGCGGCCTTTCAGAGAGTAATCCAGCTGCCTGATGAATGAAGGCACATGGAGAAAACATTGAGCAGGCTCTGTCACAGCGAATACCTTTTTTTTTCTTGCCTGTGACCCATTAAGCTGACTCCTTCTTGGTGTAACATTCAATAAGCAAACACATCAAAAGCTTCGTTGTTACAAGTCACCTCATTACAGTGAAGTCTTGAAGCAAAAGTTAATTTAAAAAAATACAGTCACTCTTAGTAATGTTTCAACTTAGGGGACACAAGATGACTTTTTTTTTTTTTCAAATGTTGGTGAACAAAGGCTTTAGTTTGTATAGATAAAAGCTTTGGTATATATAAGTTCTAACTTTAGACCTAAATGGAGCATCACCATAATTTGTTCCTGGTTCATTGTTCTCCAGCACTTTTCCAGTATGTTAGGTTGCTATTATTCATTTTGGAAAGATTAACAACACGTTTCTACCCCCCAAGAACCAGAGGTAGTTCAGAACCATAGCTTTGGTTCCATCCGTCCACAGCAGTGTGAAGAGACTAACGTTCATGTAACACTGAATCCAAACCCAGCAGAGTCACTACAGCCTCTTCCTGAGGTTTCCCCGACTTCTTCATCTGCAGCTTAGACGTGCTCGCAAACACGCTTTCTCCCACAAAAAGCACGCTCGAGTGTGCCGAGGCTAATCTGTACCAGATCCCAGCACAATCCTCCAAATGCCTGAGGATCGACATGATGGCCTGTTTAAGATGGAGCCGATGACACAAACACACACCTGACTCGCAGGGAACGGCAGTAAAAACCTCGCTGTGCTGCTTCCTGCTGAGGGCTCCCAGTCGCCGGCGCAGAGGAGGCAAAACATTTCCCTCCAAACATGATTGCAGCTGCACATGCTTATGAAGGATGCCATTAAGCACACGCACAACCCAGACAACACACAGACAAACAAAGAGGTCGTAGTTTATACAGGACGCTGGAGGAAGCATCACACACTGATCTCCCTGAAAGGTCGTGGTGATCACCATGGAGAGCTGGTAGACCATCAAAAAGCTCAGTCAGCTGCTTCTATGCTGCCTTTCATGTTTGTTCTGCTTTAGAGCGGCGGCAGCAGCGAGGAAGAGCACCAGCAGGTACAAGTGGGAGTAAACCTGCGACAAAAGGTTGAGATCTTTGTCCCGTAGAAACCCTGGTGATTTCTGTCTGCTCAGCTCTGTTTTCACTGCCCTGCCTGCGTGTGTGTGCGTGTGTGTGTATGTGTGTGTAGGTGTGTGTGTGTGTGAGCGTGTGTGATTTTCTGAGTGGTGTGCAGCACAACCTATTTGGTTACTGGTGGATGAAGCGTTCCCACCCATCTCCACCCAGTCCTGAAATACACCAGTCTGCAGAGTCAGACACACACACATGCACACACACTAGAGGAACTTCTTAACCTTCCCCTTATTGACTTAATACAGAGAAAATAAAATAAATGTCCAGTAATAATCGCCACTTCTGTTTTTGTGCGGCCTTTTTGAAGGAGGTGCGATTCGATTATAAGCAAATAAGAAAACTTTCTATATCAGATGTTCTGAATATAGAATGTATATTCTATATTCTGAATGTATGTTCTGAATGTATTGGCCACATTTTAATTCTTTGATGATGCTACAGTGAGTTTTTAAATCCAGGCTTGAAATGAGTTTGAGTGCTAAAGAACATGAGTCTCATGTTAATCCACTTGCAGAGGATCCAAATTTGCACAGGTGCATCTTCATAAAACAGAGAATATTTGGAAAGTTCATTTGTATTGGAATGATACACTTCTATATGATACAGATGCGCTGAACACAGTGACATGTTTTATGCATTTATCCTGTTCATTTTTGATTTCCTAGAAGAATTTATTTTGTAGGAACGCATACACATACAGTTTTTCATACAATGCTATCATGCTTATATAAACACAAAGTCCTGACTCAACGGTTGTCTGACACAGAAACCCTGGTGAAGCTCGTGTGTTCACAAAAAACTGCATCCAGGCACGTTAGGGGAAAGTTGAGTGGAAGGAAAAGTCCAGTAGAAGAAGCCATACAATTAAGTGTAATCTCATTCATGGTAAGAAACTCTGTAGCTCTGTGTGTTAGATCTTTTATTTTGTCTTTTGCTGACACGTTTATCAAAGTTTATTTTTAATTAAGAAAAATGAAAAAAAGAAATCAAACAGCCTGACTAGATCTACTGATATACATAGCTGATAGATAGATAGATAGATAGATAGATAGATAGATAGATAGATAGATAGATAGATAGATAGATAGATAGATAGATAGATAGATAGATAGATATTGCATAAATTAAAAATGTAGGCTAATAACTATAAAGGTGGTAGCTAACCAACAGCCACCTGGTTCATTTGTTTACAGCCTCCAAACTGCACAGCGGGAGACGCGCTCGCCCCTGTCGGTGGTGCGTGGAACTGATCCAGATCATGAGGGGCTGGACTGGATCCAGGTACGAGAGAGAGAGAGAGAGAGAGAGAGAGAGAGAGAGAGAGAGAGAGAGACTCTGGCAGGCTGATCAAGAGGGAGCTCTCCTCCTGAGAGCACACAGTCCGCAGAAACACTAAATCAGTGCGGAGCGAAGGAGAGGAGCTCATCCAGATCGATGCCAGACTCACGCTTGGATTTTTTTCTTCTTCTAGAGAGTTTCTCTTTTTTTAAATGAAGAAAAGCGACATTAAAATTACGTCTCCTGGTTTATTTTCCAAAATTTGGAATATTTGTCTGGATTAAACTCGAGCATTCTCGACGCGCAGGTAGGCGCTATAATTTGAAGAGAAATAAATGCAGTGTAATAACTGGTTGAATCTCTGATGTTTGAATCTCACTTTCTTCATGCAGAAACCTTATTCAGAAGTTACAAGGGATTATTTCTTCTCAGCGCGCCAGTTTGGGGGAGATTTTCGCAATAAAAGAAGAAGAAGAAAAAGAAGAAACCTGCAGGTCGACTTTGTCTAGGGGCTTTTTCCAACTCTGCTGTCCCAGAAATGGTGGGGCACCTACATTTACAAGCGATGGATGAGAGCCTCAAAGGAAAGAACCGTGAAGGGCTGCTCGACAGTCCGGACTCGGGCTTGCCCCCCAGTCCCAGTCCGCCCTTCTGCTCGCTGTCTCCGGCTCTGATCGAGTCGCGCTCCGGCGGCTGCGCGACGCCCGTCGACAGCAATCATGGATGTTACAGAAAGGAGAGCAGAGAGGGCAAGCTGGTAAGAAACCTCTCTACTGTCTCATCTGTGAGCTGGTTATTATTACTTTTTTATTATTATTTTACAGACACCTAAATGCAATTTTACTGTGATTTACTTCATGATAATGATGATAATGACAGGTCTGACGGGGGACAAAGTGAAAATGTGAGAGGATTTTAGCGTTTGAGCAGAAACAGACGTTCAAATCAGTTCCCTCTCTCACATCTGGAAGCTCTCTCTCTCTCTCTCTCTCTCTGAATTCCTCAGTTGCAAACCTCTGATCTGGCTCTCACGGTGGAGATGCCACCGGCCCCTCATTAGGAGGCATCAGGGACATGGGGTCCGGGGCCTCCAAGGTGTCCCCTCCAGATGAGACTTTCATGGCTTTTTTTTACTTTTATTATTTCGTAGCAGACTGACATAAAGCTCCAGCTGAACTGAAAGTGAGTTTAACACTGACCAGTGATTACTAGAGATTTTTGCTTGGGATTTTCTGATGAATCAGATGCAATCAGTGGGCCTTGTGCTCTCCTGCATCTGTACACAAACCCCTCAGGAGATTTCTGTTGAAACCTGTTCCTACAGGCTAATTGCTTGTAAAACAGATCTGGACCTCCCCAACCTGTTTGAAGAGAAGTAGCATGCACCTCCTTTAACATTTCCAGGCTTATTCTGACTGATCCGTTTAACCAGAAATGATTTGTTCGTCCTCTTTGACGTCATTAAGTAGAAAAATAAAAATAATAATAATAATAATAATAATAATAATAATAATAATAATAATAATAAAAAATAGTTGCAGGAAATTACAGCTTCCAATTTTTAATCATATCCTTCCTAAAGTTTATGGTTCTTTTAACGAGAGACCAGAGAATTTGAGAGAACCCCTCCCCTACCTGTTGCTGCTCATCTGGCTCAGAGAAGTCTGTTACAGAGAGAAATTTAGCTAAGAGTGAAAGAAATGAATAACATGCATGCATGCAGCACAACGTCGTAGAGGTGTGCTGCATATTTTCGTTTTGAAAGGATACCAGAACAGAGCCAGTATTGCTGATACCGATACAGATACTGATACTTTTTAAGTTTGAGATATCATCAGACTTCTGACATGTGGGTGTTTTTGTGGTTTTCTCTTTGAATTATTTTGTTGAAACTGAGGACAGAATTTGAACAAAGCTTACAGGCATCTACAAAATATGTTAGTAATGTTTGAACAAGATAAACAGAAACAATTGAACTGAACAGATTTGTGTGCATCTTTTCCTCAATAAGCAAAGTGGAAAATAAATGATCTTTTGAGAGAAAATAAAAAAATATATATTATTTTTTTTGAGGTGGTGTTGAGAAACTGAACCGCAAAGTCTGAAACTAAAGTATCGATGTTACCATGCTATTATCAATCCAATACCGATACTGACTTGGTATCGATATTATAACATTTTTTGACAATTTCTGTCAAACATTGTTTCTTTAGTTAAGATATGATAATCATTTCCCAGTTGTTGCAAAAATAAGTTGAGTTTCTGTTATGTGAGTAACAGGAATTTGGGTCATGTTGTAGCTTTATGCCATGCAGAAACATTATGAGGAAATTATATTATTGATTAGTGTAATCATTTGAATCTCATGAGCGAAATCAAAGTTACCAAACATGCTCTAATCATCTGATATTATAACGCTCCAGACACGCCTTATTTGGAAGTAAACAACTTCTACTCATTTGGCTCTGCGATCAGCCAGCAATGCTTCAGAAAAGCAAAAAGACGCTGCATTTGGTTTGTACTTCTAATCCTCTGAATGTTGCTGACGCTCTCTGCACCAGCAGACATTCACGTGCACAAATCGACGTTATTCTCCCAGAGATGTTTGCTATCAATTATCCACAGAGTCGGTGCATGTTGAAGCACTTATTCAGCTGAGGACGGTCGCCCTCTCCAGCCCTCTGTCTCCCCCACCAAATAGAAATGACAGGATTTGATTAATGGCAACTGCAAACGTTTTCTCGTTTTCCAAAGTGAACGAGAATGAATTTTAACGAGGCATCCCGCAGTGACCCGTGTGTCACACGCCACCCCTCGGGGCGGATGGTGAGGGAAAGTCTAATGCAGGTCACTCCCGGTTCCCGAAGCCTCCCGGAACATGCCTGCGCAGGTCCAGGTGACGGCTGAACTGTGTGAAGGAGGCAACAGAAAAGCAGAGTTTCTGCAGCGGAGCGTCCGTCTGCTGGAGCCTGAGAGGAAACTCTGAATCCTCTGGAAACTCGGATCAGTCCGGCTCTTCCAAATGTCAGCCTCTACTGGACTTGGCTCCCTTTGTGAGCACACACACACACACACACACACACACACACACACACACACACACACACACACACACACACACACACACATTTCCTGGTGTGTTTTTGTGTTGTTTTCACATGCCGCAGAAGAACAATCCCCTTCCTCCCCCACCAGCTCTATTTTGGGGTGCAGGGGGTTTGTCAGAGCAGCAGCAGCCTGTTGCATAAGTGTTTGATGACCTCCAGCTTCTAAAGACGAATGAATGTTCAGACAGCCCGTCTGTTTACTAACCTGGCTGACGGTCAATATGTGTAGATGCCAAACAGCTTTCTGTTTTTCCACAAAAAGATGTTCATAACTTCAGATGCATAGACGATGTGTGATGATCTGGTCAACTTTAAGCCAGATCAACACCTTTTACTGCAGAGATTCCAGATATTTCTAGACTTCTCAGTCAGTTATGTTGATTTTGCATAAAACATAATAAAGTTCACTATGAGTTTATGGAAGATATTTCTATAGTAGGCAGGGAGGAAGGAAGGTAGTGAGAAAGGCAGGAAGGAAAGTCACAAGGATGGAATGAAGCAAGAAAAGAAAGAAGGAAGGAAGACCACAGAATGAGAAGGCTGTAGGACCCATGTTAGGAAAGAAAAAGGAAAGACAAAAGGAAGATGCATAGGAAAAGAAGGAAGGAAGGAAAGAAGGGAGGCAAGACAAAGTTTGAGGGAGGAAGGAAGGAAGAAAGGAATGTCTAAGAAAAACTAAGGAAAACTTTACAAAACAATAGAAGCAAAGGATGGAAGGGCTCAAGGAAGGAATGATGCAAAGATGGACAGAATTAAGGGAAGAAGAAGAAAAGCATGGAAGTAGGAGAAAGGTTGGAGGAAAAACACAGGGAAGGAAAGAAGTAATGGCACATAGAAAGAACAAATGACACAAGAAAGGAAGGAAGGAGAGAACATTTAGAGAGGAGGATCAGGAACAAAACCTGGAAATATAAACAATTTTCCAAATTCCTGTTTCCCTTCTCCATTCTTCTCCAAAAACTGCTGAAATCAGACTGCAGCCTTTTCCAGACGGTGTGGAAGCAGCACTGCTCTGAGTTTCGCTCCAGGCCGAAGGAGAGCCCTGAGCTCGCGTCGAGTTTCATTACTGCTCCTAAATAGTTTCACGCACTTCCATCAAATTCAGAGCAAACACAGGATGTAAAGTCAGAGGCTTTTGCTGTAAAGAACAGCCGGCAGCTGGAAATCTGTGTTTTGCTTGGCGCCGCTCCGCCCTCAGCGGCCGACTCTGCATTGTGCATTGTGCATTGTGTGAACTGTGGACTGCTCAGCTGCAGACCATTTCTTCTGGGCTTCCAGGCGGGGTTTCTGCTTTTGTTGAGGTGACACACTGCCTTTAGAGGTGACTGCCCTCCTTTCACCAGTGTTTGCTTTGCCAGAAATCTCTGCGGAGAAACGGCCGCACCGGAAGGCCCCTCTGCTCGTGCTCGTGCTCGTGCGTGCCGCAGGCAGCGGCAGAGGGAAAGCCGATCGCACACACCCGTACAGTGTGTTCAGGTCACGGCAGAAAACGAGCCGCCTGTCGACTCGCTTCATTCGGGCCTCGGCGGCGAGTCCAGCAGCTGCATTGCAGCTCAGAGAGGGAGCGCTGTCGCCCTTGGCCTGCTCTTGCTCGTCTCTTCTGGCGGCATGCGCGGCCAGGCCACGGCATGTGACGGCCTCCTGTGTGTGTAACCCGAGAGCTGCAGAGAGGCAGATCTCCACCAACCAGAGCACTTGTACCTACGATGTGGGACAGTGTCAGAGAAATACTTGACTCTTACTTGTCGCAATAAGCAATACACCGATTAATCGCACAATAAATTGAAACGAGGTTAATAATTTCCTTTTCCATGATTTGCTGTTTCGTTCTCTTTTCTCTTCTTCTACCAAAAACTGGATGTTAAAAGTCTTCAGTCTGATGCTTTGGTCTCAACTAGCCCCTTGTTTTTGAAGGACAATTTTGTTTACAGAGACTTTATAATTAATTTTATTTGTTGTTTCTGTATCTTGTTTATTTATTTTGGATATTTAAAATGTCTTCCAGTTCAAGTCTTCAATGTTCACTAGAATTTAACGTTTATTGATCTTTAACAATGTGTTCTTGCATTAATATATAATTTCTCGTCTCAAAACAATATTTATCGTTTATCGCAATAACGTCCAGGACAATTTATCGTCCAGCAAAATTTGTTGTCGTGACCTCACCTGCAGTCTTACGGTAGCTCGCAAAATTTTCCCCTTTAACCTCTTCGTGTTCCCACTTCAAATTACAACCACAAAGATTAAGGTATTCTGTTGAGATTAGTATTCACCTCCCTTTGCGGTGCTACCCCTAAATAAAACCCAGTGTAGCCGGTCGCCTTTAGGAGTCTCCTCAGCAGTAAACAGGGTGCTCCTCCTTTGTGTGATTTAATCTCTGCATAAATGGAGCTGTTCTGACGGTTCAAATGGCGTCACAAAGCAGACAGGTCAGGCAGAAAAGCTGAGGAGAAATTTATGACAGGGTTAGGTTATAAAACAATGTACCCAGCTTTGGTGTGGAACAGTGTTCGATCAATCACCTCGAAAAGAGCAAGAGAACGGTACAGCTGCAAAACGTTCACCTGATGGGACAAGCTGGGCAGGGAGCGCTTTCATCAGGAGAGCAGGCCAAAGGTCAGTGGTGACTCTGGTGGAGCTGCAGAGACGTAAAGCTCAGGTGGGAGAACTGACTGAAAAAGATTTTATACATTTTGTCATTTACCGTGAAGAATTTATAATAATAATTGCTGATTTGTTGTCGTCCTGACAAATTTCAGTTGTTGATGGTAAATAAGATGAAAACTAAAACAGACATCATGATCGTAAATGTTATTTTTGATTTCTTCTTAAGTAACAGCCAAACTGTTACTTAAAAAACAAGTAATAAAGGATTTTATCATAATCTTTATCATGATCACAATAGTACCACAAAATGTCACACTAAAATCCATGTCACCCACCTCTGGTCCAGTCAAAGCCCAGACCTAAATCCAGTAGAGAGTAGGGCTGCAGGACATCAGGAAAAAAAAATCGCAAAGGCGATAATATTGGTAAATATTGTTGCCATGGCGATATCAGGTGTGAAACACGCCTGTTTTATGCTTTCGTCTCTTTCTAATTTTTGCTGCCTACTTTATGTGACCTTCAGCATTTTTAGCAATGTCATCTGCGTCGTACTTAAGAACTATTAAAAATAGCATCGCACTCCAAGTAGTCCTTTGTGATGTGCGTATTGCAGACACTGATACCGCGATACTCACAATATATTGTGCAGCTTTAACTGAGAGTCTGTGCAAAGACATGGAAATCGATGCACACAGACACTTTCCTCCCAATCTGACTGAGCTTGAGCTATTTTGCAAAGAAGTAAGGTCCAATATTTTTGACCTCTGGAGCAAAAGCAAAATCAGAATAAAGTACAATCTAATTTATATCTGTTAGGATTAAATTTGAGGTTCAAAATATATGAACATGTTTGGATCTGTGGAATTGGTTCTTGACCACAGTCTGATAAAATCTGCTGCTACCTTTATCTGTCCGGTAGCGATGCAGCTAGCATTCATCTGGTTTCCTGTCTGCCTGTTAGCCCTACATGAAATTCTAGAGAAATCCACACAGTTTACATTGTAATTTTGTGGTTTCTTCAAATGTTCCCCACTGGGTGTAACTAGGAGCAGAGAGGGTGACAGGTTAAGCCGCACGCTGAGCTGCATGTGGACAGTTTGACTGACGTTAAACACAACCCTTCTAACAGAAGCCTTCCCTGCTTTCTTTGCAGCAAGTGGATTGAAAATAAATCTTAAAAAGAGTGTCTGTTCTCAGATTGTTGAATCTGAAATGAAAAAAAAAAAAAAACCCTGGAACTTCCTAATTTTTTTCAGTCTGTTGCTTTTTGTGTGTGTGTGTGTGTGTGTTTAAAGACTCAGTGATCCAATAAAGACATCTTCAATACTTTACTCCACCTCAAACTTAAGTTCTGATTGTATTTAACTATTTACAGCTAATAAGATTTATGTAAAGGCCGTCATTTTGATCTACTTTTTTGAAGTGACGTCCGATCAGTCTGTCATTAAAATCATTAGAGGCAGCCAGAGCAGCCATTAAAGGAAGGCCAGGTTAAGAAAACAGAAAAATAATCTCCAAGCGAATGAGCAAAGTGAGACGGAGCAGCGCGCGGCGTCTCCACCGCTGGTGCGGTTGTTGTTTTAAACTTTAGCGTTGACCTTCCCTGCTGATCTTTGCTGTGTCACTTCTCTATCACCTCATTACCCGTTTCCTTCACTCCACTGGGCTCCGAGCGGCACCACAAACACGCTCTCTTACTTTTCTTGACATTTTTTCCTCTAATTTTATATTAGGCAAAGGCTAGTTTGAAATTCTCAAAGTGTTACCTTCAGTAATAACGGCCGGGTTTCACGATGGTAAGAAATATCAATACCAAACACCAATCGCTTGTGTTTCAAACAGAAAAGCATCGATTATTCCTTCTGCTGGTAATATGAAATATGGCAATAATTATTACAGTTAAAGTCATGCTATGTACATCTGTGGAGGAATCCAGATATTTGCATACACTGTAATAAGAAACATAACATTTTGTTTTCTCTCTGTCTGATATTAGTAAACTTTATCTGATTTAGGTCAGGTAAAATTACCAACATTATCACAATTTGATATATCAGAATATTGAGAGATGGAACTTTTTTTTTTTACTATTTAATTACTTTCTTCAAAGTCAGAAGTTTACAGGAAAAAAAAAGATTACTATGCCTTCAAACAAACTGGGGGAGCCCAGATGATGATGCTCTGCGAGCCTCTCTCATTTAACACTTGAGTTAAATGTTTTGTTTAAGCAAATATATAAACATGGACTGAAATGTCACGCAGAGAGGAAGAGGTTATTGCTCCAGTAGTCTCACAGAAAGTCAGATCAAAGTTTGCAAATCCATCCAGGGACAGATATGAAGATTTTTGTCCCAGTCTTGGTGCTGGATGGATTGGTACTTTTCAAAATAGCACATATGCCAATGCATATATGTTAGAGATTAAATTTGAGGTTCAAATGTGCTATTTTAAACATTAAAGTGCAATTAAAGGAAAACTGGGAAAATAACACAAATCAATGAACGAACACCCTGAATATAATCACCTTACTAAAATAATGGCCAAAGTACATTTTTGCCAGAAGACAATTTAGGCAAGAAAGTCATTTTATTTTGGGAGGGGGGGGTGGGAGATATCACTTAGGCCAATGTTTAAGAAAAATGATGATATGCAGTAAATACATCATGTAATCCAAAGAACTCATGCTGATTTAAAAGAAAGGAATCGTGAACACAAGTTTGAAGTTGCTCCCAAGTTTAAAACTGGAGAGATTTTACAACCAACTGAATTCACCTTTCTTAAAAGCATATTAAAAACAACGTACCGGGCTTCCTTCCAGAAACAGGTTTGGGATGGGCAGTACTTTGAGTAACCCAGTAATCATCTCTGGGACCTCATTGAAAGTCTTTAAAACGTGGGAGTATAACAGAAAATTTGATCAGTTTGGAGACTGCTAACGCTACTGCCACCTGCTGGCAGAATAAAAGTTTTTGTGGTGTTTAAAAGGAAGAAATATTAGCTTGAAATTATAATAAGGGCAAACTTGCTGGATGAGTGCTATGACAGTTCTCCCCTGGGAGTGTTTGCGGAGTGGGGGTGGGGCCAACGGGGTTGTTAACCTGGGTAGTTCACTGTGTTGAAACCCATCAAAAAGGCTGCATTTTTCTTCTTTCTTTTTTTGTTTTACAAGAATTTCTACATAAAAAGTAGTTCAACAGGTCTTACATGGAGCTGTGAGAAAGTGAGTCATATTTTATTTTTTTTCCCACTTCCCACAGCTGCCCTACCTCCTGCTGAACTGTGCAGGAACAGACCCGAAGTCTCGCATGCACCCGGTGTTCTACGGAGAGAGCATCGAGGTCAACACCAAACCGGAGCAGGAAATCAAGTCAGTCATCATGCAGTCGGTTCTCTCTCGCTCACCAAACCGCCGACACGTTCCTAAACGCTCCCCCCTCTCCCTTTCAGGTGCACGTCTGCGGTCAAGTACGACTCCGACAAGCACTACCGAGACCGGGTGGTGTGCGCCCCGGTTCCCATGCCCACTTCCTTCAGCGAGACGGTGGTGGTGGTGCAGAACTGCACTTGGAGAAGCTACAAGACGCAGGTGTACCTGGAGCCGCGGCAGAAGCCCGTCAGCTACCAGAGCACCACCATCATCTACCCAAAACACGCCAAGAACACTTACCGCACCACCCTCAACTACAACCCCACGGGCGCCCGCCGCTGGTTCGTGTCCACGGTGCAGCTGGAGTCCAGCGAGGACACGAGCCCCTGCGTCATCTACACAGAGGACCTGTAGGGCTACATGGCGCCATCAAGGGGACTTCATACTTCATTTGAACTTTTACCTTTTTTAAAAAAAAAAAAACAAAAAAAAAATAGTGTGTTTTTCTCACGATAAGGAATTTGGACAGATCCACACCGAAAGAGAAGTGCCTGGAGTTTTAAACCCCCGCTCTTAATCTGGGAGTCAGACTATTTTTGATTTTCTTGAATAGGGCTGTTGGTGCTCTGCAGCTGCCCTGCAGTGACTAATGTCTTATTTAACAAGAGAGCTAACAAGCTCAGGGCCCGTGCTCCCCCTTCTGGTGGGACTGGAGCCTTGGTGACGGTAACTTTCAGATTCCTGGTGTCTGTATATAGAGAAAAGGGGAAAAAAAATTATCGACACGTACTGTGGATTTTTACCCAGTCATACCGATGCAAAGTGTTCTGAATATGGCTCTATTGCACTTGTTTTCTACATGTCGCAGTTCCCTCAGAGGACCTGGCGTAGTGGTGGGGAATTTCTGTGCTGCGTCTGAAAAGTGGACCAAAAATAGTTTATTTCCTTTGAGTAACTCCATACGCTGGAGACCAAAAACTCCACAAGCGACTCTGAGCAGCATCTCTTCTCGTCAGCCGAGGTGAAACTGAGGACCCGAGCACACGGTGATCTGAAACCCACGCCAGATAATCACCAACTCAGCTTACTATTTTGAACTTGGTAGACAGGATCATATCTTGTTGGCGCTGAAGGGCTGCGATGAAAACGGTGGTCACAGAAATTAGGCTGACTTAGTTTTATTTATTAAAATGTAGAAACTAGAATTACTTGGGACTGTGTGGCTGTAAGACTACATTGTCTGAACTTAAGGGAAAAGTGGAGGGAAGGGCCATTTAGGAAAGGTGAGCTTATTTCACACAGGAAATAAAAACTAAAGACAAGGGAGCAAATTTATTTAGTATGAATCCAGAACAGTTGGGCACAGAGGCTAGCAGCTAGTTTGAGAGGAGCTGAGACCAAAGCTAATTTCTTCCATTTTAAAACAAATTTAACAACAGATCATAGTGGCCAATGCAAAAGCTCATTTATAAACTATTTAAATCATGTCACGTCTGAATCGGGCGCTTATTTACATCAATGACTGTTCGGTCGGTGGAAGTGCAACACCAATAAGCTTCCTGTGGAAAACAGATCTGAATGGAACGTGACTCATCTTTAGTAATAACACTAAATTTAAACTTAAACGCTAATTTAGTGATCTTGACTCTGCTTTATTTTTGTGCCGTATAGTTACCCTGACCTGAACATGTTCTCTGCTCAGTACATGTTTCATACAGGAAGATCACTGGTAACGGACCGCCGCCAACGAGCCTCGTCACGTGAAGAACCACCCAACGCAGTCGGGACAATGTTGCTGTTAGCTTCGTTCTTCAGGACCAGCTAGTCTGAGAGTATGCTAAATAAAGGCACCAAGAGAGTTAAATACATTCAAGACAATCATTTACATATATGTAAAAACTCCCTGATGTAATGTGCAAAATAAATGTTGAGGTTTTTGAAACCAGAAAGAACTTAATTGGATGTTAAAACTAATATTACTTGCAAATCTTATTTTATATTCCATGAAATTATCGGTGTGGAGCCATTTCTGATCCAGTGTGTGTACGTAGTTTTTGTCTCCACATCCAGTGTGTCCAAAGCAGAGCCATGAAACCACATGAGATCTCCCTAGTGAAGAAATTAGGGGTTTCTCTGCTCCTTATGTGCGTCTCAAATATATATATATATTTCAGGTTGCTGAATAGGACAACTATTCAGACTTTACCTCAAATTTCCCGTGGTGTTTTATTACAAATATGTATTCCTCTTTTCTGGTGAGGTTTAGAGTTTGTCTTTTTTGTTGTTTTTGCAGGATTATTATTATTTGAAGTGGGCATGAGATGCCAGAGAAAGTGCTGTAGCTACCAGAAGGTGCTGCACACTGCCACACAGCTGCCTGAAAGAAGGTCAAAAAGAAAAGAAAAAAAAAGACAAGTTTGGCTGCTTGGAAACTTGGGTGTGGAAACAAAGGACTGGCACAGATCACTTGTGTTCACACATCATCATTTGGGAAATTAGCATATAAATCTGGGTGCTGTCGCCATGGTAGCACCACATTTTAACGTCCTGGCCCATGCCTAGTTTGAGGGAACCTCCGGGTCAGAGTGGAGGCAGACCAACAGGACGTAACGCTGAGGCAGTGCAGTGAGACGGATGGCACTGAGGGGACAACAGTATGTAGATAGAAAGAGCTGAGAAAGAAGAAATATTTGCAAAGAATGAATATGTAAGAAAAGGGAAATAGTTCTCACTGAGCTTTTTGGTTTTTTCCTACCAAGCCAGAAGTTCCTGGGAGGTTTGAGTTTGCCTTGAGTTGACGGTCTGTGAGACGTTTGGTTCTGATGGAAGAAAGCCGACAGATCTTATATTTAATACCTTGGTGGTTTTATGTGTGATAATTTTCTTTTTTTTTTTGTCTAACACTTGACATAACATTTGATACTGTAAAATATTGTCCTATTGTATATGTGGCATCAAGGCACTTCATAATTCTCTTTATATTTTTGTACGTCAATCATTGTTCCAGTTCCAATGAGAGGTATTATTTAAGAAGATGTATAACCTTAATGAATAATAAAAAAAAACAAGCCGATTCCCAAACGGTTCCAGCTGTTTGAGTATTTGTTTTTGAAACGTGGAGTTCTTTTTTTTTTTTTTTAGCTTTTAAGCAAGACGTTCTAAAAACTGATGAGCTCCTAACCTATCAGTTTCACCCCAAATAAATAAATAACTTATATCAGTTCAGCAAGTTAATACAGAATAGTAACATATTTTAGCTGTAAGGAATATTTTGTTGATTCACGTTGATTTTCCACAATCGTGGGGTTCTCCACCCTTCAGAAGTGTGGACCCAGAGTCTGTATATCGAGGTGCCAGTGGTACCGAGTGCACAGGCATTAATATCAGACTGCAACTAAAACAGCAGCTCATGCAGCAGAGCAGTGGCGCAGAGTTTTGGACCAGCGCCTCGGGTCTCTCTCCACAGACGCTCACATCATCGTGCCAGTTAAACAGGACTGAGGCGCCCCCTGGTGGAGTGGCGAGGAAGATCAGAAAGCACGATTCTCTGGTTTCACAAAACAAAAACAGTTCAAATTTCCTAAAGAATGACATAATCTACTTAATACATTATAACAATTTTATTTGTTGTTTTGGTTTAAGTACATATTTAGCATTTGTTCACCTTCTTGATTTTTGATGTACCAGATGCTCTTCTGGCCTTATTTGATCTTAACTAGGAACTTTGAGTGGCAGCATCAGCACTCAACTTTATGTGGACATAATGGCAACATCTTAAGACATCAGCTAGCATACAAAGGTGTGGGAGAAAATGGTGCAATGAAATGACGGCGACAGTTAGGATAAAGCTAACTTGGTTGCAAAATTGCTTTAAAAAGACTACACTTTAAAATTGCCGTGCCTATCACAAAATAATGTTGAGTTGAAAAGGTGTGTATGAGGCTTGGCTCAGTTGTACCGGTTCCGTCATAAGAAATGGTTCACAAATCAAGCAAGCTAATGTAGCAATCTTGTGGAAACACCCAAAGAAATGAGACCCAAATCTTAAAGTTTGAAAGGCAACTCTGATAACTTTTTTAAATATACGTCTTCAAAGTAATAATAAAAACATATTTTAGCATTTCTTACCAACCTAAAATAGTTAAAGTTTAGTCTGATATAATGACAGACAATCAATGAGGGGGGAAACAGGTTGTATTTTTATGCAGAGTATGTAAATATCTGGTTTCAACTTCACTGTTCAGGCTCTTCTGCACCCAGCTGACATAAGTGGTGTATTTTGGTGCCATGTGATGCTTTCTTTTTTTTTTTCTTAAAGATCAGCGTTAGATTTTAACCTACCATGTATGTTTTTTCAATATGCAAAATGTTGCAACATTTATAACAGGACTAGAATACAGTTGGATCATCAATTCCACACTTTATGAACAGTTCCCTTATAAGAGCTCAGGAGTTTTATCTGCTTCAATAAAAGAGGATCCCGCAGAATAATTCGCTTTCCAAATATAATCTGACTGAAAGATTTGCTTGCACCGCCCCCTGCTGGCGCTTATCTGTTATTACTCCAGACCAGGGGTCACCAACTCCAGTCCTCGAGGGCTACCATCCTGTAACCTTTAGATGCGTCTCTGCTCAAACACACCTGGATCAAATAAACTGCTCGTTTCCAGCCTATTGCAGAGAGGAATGAATGCTGGTGAGGGAATTCAGACATTTTGGAGCAGAGGTGAATCTAAAAGTTGCAGGACGGTAGCCCTTGAGGACTGGAGTTGGTGACCCCTGCTCCAGACCTTCCCCGTTGAGCCAAACTCAACTAAACCAAGAGGTGAGAAGAGAACAATGAGCCTAAATCCAGGTAATGCAGCTCTGACACCATGACTGGCAATAAGCTTTTTATTTAAACATTAAGGCAGTGTCTTTTTTTGTGTGTTTTTCATTTTTACACTGCTATCCACAAAGCTTGCTGGTGGGCATGTAGAATTTAACCATGTGAATATTTCTTTTCATAATACCACCCTTGAAGCAAGCCACATAAATATTTACATCTCTTCAATTCTATATACAATCCTTGATATTATACAGTGGGTTATAATAAAAAAAAAATATGCACAAAATGGTTGAACAATGTACTGTTTGTCAATCATCCCCCGCCCCCTTTCTCCTACGATTGGACAGTCCAGATTTCGTCCTTTTAGGTTTTCAATGATTCATTTCATTCTGCAAACACAAGTGTGCAATGAGAAAAAAAAAAAAAAGTAAGAATAAACAATATAAATGGATGCATGTTAAAAAGTCATTTCAGTGTACTTTTAAAAACAACACGTTAGTCATCGCTTTAGGGAACAGCTGGATATGGCTTCGTCTGGTTTTAGCGTCACATTCCAACGTTTCAGCAGTGGCAACGATGAGAACACACACACACACACACAGAGAGAGGGAGAGGGAGCGACGACGTGTTTCTGCCTCTACTGGCCTCAGTAGGAGGAGCTAAAGCACAGCTGAGAGGACAGGCGAGGAAGAGGAGGCGGTCCGATAACAGTCAGGTCTGCGCTGAGATGAGCTAAAAAAACAAACAAAAGAAGAAAAAAGACGCCAGAGAATCTTCTTGAACGTCTCGCGCAGAAATACTGCCTTGAAAAGGTGAGACTAATTTAGCAGAACCGCCTTCCCCTCCGCTTCCTCCGACGCGCACAGAGAAGGGAGGTGCAATGAAGTACACTTAAAATAGTTTACAGGTTAAAAGTGAAGAAAAACTTCAGATGGAGGTCCACGTAAGCGGTGCAAGATGACTGAGTAAAACCATTAAAGCTAAGGCAGTGGGGAGGGGGGAAATGAAGGGGAGAAAGAAAAAAAAAAAGCGAATACATTAAAAAGGATAGCAGGACGTTTGATTAAAATCCGTTTGAACCCTTGCGAAGCAGTCTGCAGGGGGGGGAGTAAAAGAAAACTTGTGCGTCATTTAATGAACTTCAGCACTAGAATTTGTAAAATAAATGGCACTTAACACTAAGAATATCTCTTAACTGTACAAAATCTGCCCGGATGTGGAGATGTATCCACGCACCCCCCACGAGGCAGTAAAAGCTCCGAGATGGGACTCCAGCAGGCCAGCGGAGGCCGGCGTGTGGGGGGGGGGGCACAGAAAGATGGCTTTTTTTTTTTGTTGTTTTTTTTAAATCTCCTCTTTAATGAAAGGGAAACTCCAAATTCAGAGCTTTTAAACTCGTTCTCCACTCCGACGTGATTTGTTTTTCTTTTCTTACTGCGAGCGGAACAAGAAGCAGCGAGACGCCTCCGCAGTGGGACTTCTGCGCCGCCTCTTTAAAAAAAGAAAAAAAAACAAAATGCCATCGTGATCACCTCGACAACTAAGTGCTTTATATGCAAAGAACTGTTCTGACAAACACAGACATGGTTAATATAAAAACAAAAACAAAAAAACAGCAAGAAAGTGTCACTTGCCTCAGTGCCATCCATCTGGCAGCTCCTCCCAGTTCCCCCAACACACACAGATTCATGACATCAGTAATGAACCGCTTAGTTTACCCTGTAAACCTCTGATATGATCCCACCCCACCTGCCTCAAACCCAACACCCCCGCCCCAATACATCTTTGCAGATAACAGACGACAAATGACACCATCAAAAAAAGTTCACCACCAAAAATGTACTAAAAAAGTCGCAGCTCACGAAACACAGGACTGGACTGACAGTTCCAGAGAGAGAGAAACAAAAAGGACCAAAAGCGAGGGGGAAAAAAAAGAAAGAAAGAAGAAACCAAGATGCTGATTCTCCTCCTGTGTCCTTTTTGCTTGTGTTCTTGTAGTGGTAGCGGACCGTCGGCACACGGAGCTCGCCAGGAACAAAACAAGAGGGTTCCCCCGCTTTGAGAGTCGGGTCCAACATGGCGTCGTTACAGCCGTGTGCGGAGGCGTGAGCACGGAACGGCGGCACACGCCGAGCGCACGATGCGTCTGTGTTGATAAGGCCAGTGAGGAATAGTAGTAAAAAAAAAAATAAAGAAGAAGAAGTGATTTGTCCTTCAGAGTAGTACTGGAGTGAATGCATAACACGTAAGTGCGAACGGACACACAGAGCCACAGAGATTCGTCCTCGTCGTCCAGGGAGGAGGACTGCTTCACGGCGAACAGCGGCGGTGGAGGGGGGCGGGGGAGACGAGGCGCAGGACTGTCCTCTGAGTGTGTGAAGCAGTGCGTTTTCTGGTCACTCGCTGTCGGACAGGGTTTCATACTGAGAAACAAGCAGAGGCTTGGGCTCCTCCTCCCAGGGGCGGCCCTGGCCGGGTCCGGGCCCCAGGCCGCCCTGCTGGCCAGACGAAGGGGAATGGGCTGAGACTGTCCCGCTGGGGAAACGCATGATGAGCGGGCTGTATGGAAACGGGGTCGGAGTTGAACCTGAGTGAGAGGGGACAAAATACATTTTAAAAAATGGCTTGAAGGCGACATCAATGTGAGTACCGCTGTAAAACAGGATTTTAATTGTATTTTTAAGACTAATTAAACTGCCATTAGCATGACTAGCATAATTAAGACTACCGTCTGTGTGGGTTTTCTACAGAATATAATGTAAACCATTCATTTTAACTTGAGATTTTCAAAATGGCTTATAACATTTTCAATTACACTGAGTTTAATGGAAAACAAAAGGCTCAAAATGATAAAAGAGAGTAAAGCTGCTGTTCTCCGGTCAGCCTTCCTGCTACCTGCTGAAAATCAAACTCTCTCTCTCACAGACATGTCTCAAGATATGCCGCAGTTTCCTTTTAAATTGGCTTTTCAAGTGAATTCAGAGAGGTAAAAAAAAGAAAAATAAAGCCAACGTCTTCTTAGCTCAGTATCTACCTACTGAGCAACTTTTCCCGTTTAAAGAGAAACTTTTGTCCCTATTGCTGCAAAATAAAACTCACTCAGAGCCGCAAAACTGATTTTCTAAATATGTACTACTTAAAATGTTTTATTATAAAAGCTAACAAAAGTAAAATAGGATTAATTTATATTTTCAGATTTATTACCAATGGAAAAAAAAAACTGTTTTGTGTTAGTGAGGTTAGCCTTTTCTAAAAATATGAAAAATAAAGTTATATGGTTTGAAGCTAGTCACTTTTAAAAGCCTGTTGAAGATGTTAAAAGCAGATTTTTGTATGAAGACATAAAGGAAAACCAATAAAATGGCCAAAATGAAAAAAACAACAACATTTTGATTAAAACCATATGATATAATTGCGTCAGTAAAACCTCCAAGTCTGAATGTAGATTCACAGTTAAAGGTCATAAATAGTCTTAATTTCACGCATCTTTCTGGAAGCGGCGTGCATTGTACCTGCAGACAGAGGCCGGTCCTCCCACACCCGGTTCGTGAGGGGCGTCCGCCGGTTGCAGTCTCCCTCTGAGTGGACAGACGACACGGACGAGGGACGCTCGCTGCCGGACAGACCCGGGCCCGGGGACTTGGCCTTGCGTCCGTTAGAGCGCCCGCTGCTCTTTGAGGACTTGGAGCCGCCTGCAAACAGAGGAGGAGAAACTCTGATGCTCTTTGGGTGAGTTAACATTTAACTATTTTAATACATATGCTAAGTTACATGATTGTTTTTCTTACAAAGCTGATTAAATGATATATATCCAGTTACCAATGTGTAATACAGATACCAAAATAATGGTAAAGTTAAAGTAATAAATTCTAAGAAGATCTTTGACGTCTTCAAACTAAATTATTCCACGAGGAATAATTTAGGTCATGGATGAAAGTCCCTTGTCCAAATAAAACATTTAAAGAAATGTTTAATGTTATCACAGAAAAGGATGAATAAATGGTTCAGTCAAGAAGTCACACATTTTAAATTGTTCAATTTAAAAAGTGAAATTTGTTGACTCTACATTTTGATTACACACTGATAAATTTAGGGCTTTAGATCTGTTAATGATAGCTATGGCTTACAGCTAATAAAAACCAAATAATCTCACATTCTCAAAAAAGATCAATAACAAAAAAAAGGATTTTTAACAGAAATGTCAGCTCCTAAAAACCAAAACCCGGTCGCCCCACATTATATGTATATATAAATGGAGTTAACAGGATGTCTGCTTTTCATTAAAAGGTCATAAAAAGTCTTAATTTCATGAATCTAAAATTTAATTAAAATGTCTTGAATTCATTATAAAAAACTTAAGTTGGACTTTAATATGTTCATAACAGGACTTAAACTTTGCTTTGACAGGATGATTTAAACAATTTTTTTTTCTTGCAGATCTTTTCTGTCAGGCTAAAGTTTGAGTCGCACTCACAACATTCATTGTGACTCAAGACTGTTGAGGCTACTGCTAACTAGCTGCTAACATACACTTGCTAGCTAGCAAGCTTGATTTTCGTCATCTGTCAGTGTTAAGTTTTGCGATGCAGGTCTTAAATTCCACTCAGAATGGTCTTAATCATTCGTACGTTTGAGTAAGTGAAACCTGCAGAAGCCCTGGTTTAAAAACAGCGGCCCAACGCGCGAAGCGTCCACTATAAAACAAGTGAAGAGTGGCACCTTGTGAGAAGGAGTCGTCAGCCCGTCCGTCTGCAGACATGGCGGGACCCGTCGCGTTAGCAGCGCTGGACGGGGAGCGCTCCTCTGATGATTCATCGTACTTTCCCATCAAGGCCTTTCTGATTATGGCCTCCAGGCCGATGGAGTTGCCAGATGCTTCTGGAGCCGGGTGGCTGCGCACACTCACAGGCCCTGGACGGGAACGCAGACGCGGGTTTTTAAAGCGAAGAAGCAGTTTTTAACTAAAACCAAACCGAGCTCGCCTCATTTCCGTCAGAACACAGCGGAGTCTGAAAACACTTTAGTGTGAGTCAGTCTTCCTATTACACAGCGTACCTGCAGTAGTGGAGGCTGGCATATTAAAGATTTCCGTTCCTGGCTGACCGGCATCTGGAATCACAGAGGAATCGGTTAAGATCGACTGGTTCTGGTTTTTAATGGGTTTCATTCGTACGCTGAGGCGAGGCTCACTGAATTCGGCGTCGTTGCCATCGCCCGTCCTCTTCTTGATCATCTCCTGCTTCTTGGACTTCACGATAGCCGACGTGTTCTCCGTCAGCTTGCTGAAGAAAGCTGGAGGCTGGGAGGTGTTGGGTGGAGAGCGGGAGCCGAGCCTGGCGGTGGAAAACCAGCAGGAAATTCAGACACACTTAGAATCACTTAGTTTAATTCCCATCTCTGTTTTGTTTTTTTTTGCTGATGACCTGAAGGCTGACTGGAAGCTCAGAAATCAAATCTATTTTCTGTTTAGTGAAGGCACCATACTAAGTGCTTTTACACAAAATACTGCAAATCTATTGTTTTTGCTTTATGGCAGCATGAAATATGCAATCTGCTTCTGACTGAAGAAGCCTCAAAATGACTCATTTTCTATATCAGTGATGTGTTGAAGTATGTATTCAGGGAAAAGCAGATCTACAGAAGAAGACATTTAAGAGCAAATTGAATTTTCTAAGAAAGGTCAGACTTTCAGCAGATAAAAGCGATAAAGAAAAAGTTGCTCAGTTTTCTCCTGTTGAGTTTTCAACAATTTCTTTATATTGAAAGATGTTGCAAATGTTTGTACATAGCAGGGACACAAACAAGAGACTTTTCAAAACCGTTTGTTTTGAAAAGTCTTACACACTCGCCCTATACTGGTCTGAAAACAAAACTATTTGAGCAGAAAAAAAAACCCTATTTCAATAACCTTTATTAACATATAAAAAATAAGACAACCTTCATTTCAATCACACAGATCAAAAACTGTGCAATTGAACAGACTTAAATGAAAATTCAAGCCTGGTCAAGGATGTCCCTTACCCTTGTTCCCCCTGCTCATTGGGGTAGGAAGCCCCTCCCTGGACGTCGGGCTCAGAGCTGGATGCGGGAGGAGACACCGGCTCAATGCAGTCATTGGAAACGGGGGACGACTTCTGCTGCTGCGGAGATCTACAAACAACACGGTTACTACATGTGATGCCGTGTTTTTAAAGAAAAATAAAAATTGTCAAAGTCCGGCCCACGTTTCCTACCTGTCTCGGTTACATTCCCCACTAAAGCCCTGTGAGTAGCGGGACGCCTGAGCGGACTCCTGTGACGTGGGGGGGGCCTGGGAGGCACTGGATGGACGGGTCAGGTCCAGAACCGGAGAGCCGTGGTAGCTCTGCTGCTGTTGCTGCTGCTGGCTGTCCCTGTAGTCTTTAACTATCACCTCCTGGACAGAAACATTAACATGGAAGACATTAACGTGACGCTTTTAATTAATCTCCTGGTTACGGTTCTTCACCGTGGGCCTTACGCTGATGTGCTGCGCCAAAGTGACCACTCTCTGGCTGCCTTTGACACATGGGGATGGGGGCTGTTGGCCTGGAGACAGTCTCTCCTCTGACGGGGGTCGATAGAGTCCTTGTGGTGCTGCAGAGGACCAAATCCACAAGCGTTAAGAACACACACACATCTGAAGCTCTCAAAGTTAGCTCAGACTTCCCTTTTTAAGCAATAATAATAAAAACATGCACACTTTGAAAAGTCTTCACTGTTTCAGCGGGTTGCACCAACAGGTGACAAGCCACAGTTTTCTCTTCGTGTTTTTTTTGCATGAACAGCCAGTAAGCAGAACTTTTGGCCAGAAGTGACACTAAAATTAACTGGTTTTGCATCAGTGACTCATACAAGTAGAGTGTGCAGAAAAAAGAAAAAAAAAAATTACATCGACAAATATACAAAAGACCACAAACGGGTTGAGCTAGTGTGTCTGTGAAGAGCAGGATCCAAAAGGATTCACTGAAACAAACCTGAGATTCATGTAGGAATTCATTTATTCCTGCTTGGCCAAGTGGAAATAATGGATCCAGCACAGTTTTTAGAAAACGTGCATCGATTGGAGTTTTCTGTCCGATCACTGATGTTGAAAAGTCACTAAATATAGATAGCACACACGTGACATGGTGAGCTTCATTGCTCACTATGTTTTTCTTTTTCTGACATTCCAGCTGGACCAATCAAACCCAAGGCATCGACATGACCTGTGCCTCTCGGCTGCCTTTCCCATGAGTCTGTGAATGCATCCCAACAGCAGTGGGATCATCTACGTCCTACGAACTGATGAGAACAAACCGAGACCGCTTAAAACAACTCTTTGAATTCAGCCATGAATAGTTAAAGCCCCAAGTGCCGTCCATGTAGTCCGAATGACAGAAAACTACCAAGTGTAAAGGAGAGTTTGAGATGTGTGGTCAAAAACCAGGAAGAAGTTGCCATCGGTAGTATGCAAGTCTGAACAAAACTCAAACCATTTAGTAAAAAATGCTTGTGAATTTAGACAATCTGATTTTAGTTGCATTTCAATTCACCATATAATTTATATTAGTTTTATACTGAATAAGTTTTGTGCACATTTGTAACGGAAACAAACCTAATGATCAAATCACCACTGCAGGAGCGGGGCTCCTTCGTATCTCGAGCGACACCAAACTGGTTTCAAGGCACTCCCATTAAAAAAGAAACCTGAAGCAGACGAAGCCGGCTGCAGCTCTTACCGAGTGTTCGGATGTCTTGTTCCTGAACAGACATGGGTTTGTTTTGAGTCTTTTCTCTACTTGGTGTGCCGCTGTCCTCACGGCCGGACGGGTTGTCCGACTGGGAGGGCAGCAGACGGCCTGCGGACGGGGGGTAGGAGCCGGGGTAAATTCCTCCTGGGCCGGGACCGCAAAGCTTGGGGTCGGATTTGCTGGAGGCGCCGTGCTGCTCCTGCAGGTGTTTGGGCAGACCGCCCCTGGATTTGCCTCCATCGCGATTCTGCTCTTTGGCTACGCTCGAGTCCATGGCAGATTGGTAGGCGTCAGGCGGCACACCCGTTTTTTGGAAGGAGCCATGGAAACCTGGGTAGCGGGATGCTGAGGGAATGGTCCTGGTAGGAAAATAAAACAAACCACATATTTTTGCATTTTATTGGTAGAAAATGTTATTATAGTTTTAGCACAACTCTGGCTTACCGTAACACCGACGGGTGTTCACTGACAGAAAGACTTTTGCCTCCGGTGTTGTGCAGCACGCTCGGCCTCTGCTGCACGTTGTCCTGGGTGCGGGGAGACACCGGGGAATGCTGGTGGCCGTAGGGCTGGGATGCAGGTCTGCCGCTGCCGCCGCCGCCGCTGCTGCTGGACAGGCTGTGTTCTGTACCTGAGAGACACACATTCATGTTACTGTACAAACATCTTCCCACAAGATTCAACCTTTAACACCCCCTTTTACTTATTCACATTTTGTTCCAATCACCCAACTTCAATATTTTTTACTGGACATTTATCTGATGGATGTAAATATTGCATAAGTGTGAAGTGTGGAAGGAAACAGGCATTTGTTTTTCTAATTTTTTTTTTCCCTTTTACAGATAAATCTGAACAATCTGCGATTTCAATTCATTTTTACATTATATCATTTAATACTGTTATTATTAATGTTGTATGATGGTTCTTGACATTCTACAGCAAGGACAAGGTAAATCAAAATATAACAAGTAATTTTGGTCATTTTAACTGACCTGACAAGAGAAGTTTAGTCTGATTTAACTTCAGACAGTGACACAAAAATATATATGTTAATAGGTTTGTGAAAAAAATCTGGTTTCAGCTGTAAATAACGTTTTCCAAATTTACGCTTTGGATCAAGTATTAGATTGTAATTTAATACAAATCTGTGAAGTTTGAATATCAAACATTTTCAAGGACTTTATGCAGAAGTCAAGCACTTTCCAAACTTTGAAAACACTGTGAATTGAAATTCAAGAATCCTTCAGGTTTTCAAGCACCAGTACGATCCCTGGTTCTGTATTCAGCCATCTGTCCTCTGATACTCAGAGAAGCAGTTGTGGTTTGATGAGACCAACATTTTACTGCCCAACACTGAAGATAATCCCCAAAGGAAACTCCAGTCATCTTCCTTTTACTTCACAACTGTGTGCGTCTGTGGTCTGATCCGCCACATAATACCTCCATGAAGCACATTTTGTGTTTGGAACGTGAGCAAACACAAACTACGTTTTTAAACACAGACTAAGGCAGAAAAGCAGAATCGTTCAGGTACCTGGTCGCCAGATGGGGGCGTGCTCCACATTTCCCAAAGACCCTCCCCTGTCTCTGTCTCTTTCCCTGTCCCGATCTCGGTCCCGTTCCCGATCTCTCTCTCGTTCCCGCTCCCGGTTTTCCCGCTCTCGCTCCCGTTCTCGGTCCCTATCGCGGTCTCTTTCCCGCTCCGACGACGACGCGCTCTGCATTTTGCTCATGTGTGAGGGGCCGACTGAAACGACAAAAAAAAAAAAAAAAAACAGATGAGGGAAAAAGTAATTTTAAACAGATAAAAACATGATATTTTGTCAGGGAGATGCTCATAATAAAATGGAGGCGTACCAGGGGAGATGGATGAGCTGGTGTAATTCCTGGGAGGGAATGCAGCGTTTGTCCCAGGGATGTAGGTGATGCGATCCATCGGGGAGCCGGCCGCCCCTGCAGACGGAGGGACCAGGACGGGTAAGTGGACCTGAGAAAGATCAATGATCCCTGAGGAGAGGAGGAGAGATGAGAGCCAAATCAAGATGCAGTTTAATTAACAACAAACATACAAAACCTTAACAAACTTCATGTAGTGACAGTCCAGCAGGCTGATTTCTTTATTATAAAATTTTCCACATTCTTTTTTTAGAATTATATTTTGACACAATTTCCACAAATAACGCCCCGTAGACTAAAATGTATTCATCCTGTTTTAGCAAAAGTTTTAGATTTTTCTTTTTTCAAAACCTAAAAATAGAAATAAAAGGGTGGTTCTTTCAAAATAACATTTCCTACAGCAGATAAGTTGTTTGTTTTCTCTATTTGTGGCTGCAAAGAAGTTTCATTTAGCTGGACAGAGGATAGTAAAGAGAGCAGACTCCAGAAGAATGCAACAAATAAAAAAAAAGCATTTCAGCATCTGTAATGCAGCAACACAACAATTGTTACAGAACCACTCAAATAATTTAAATAGTGCCGTTCAAAATGCAATTAAACAAAAGCTAAATTAAATGTACTCCTATCTTCTCCTTTGCTGAGGAAAATGTTTTCTTGTTGTAAAAATACTAATGATTAGGCGAGTCTCCTTTAGTTATAAGTTATAGCTGGATAATCACATCATCGTTTTAGATTCATCAATGAAGCTGCAAAATGTATATGAATATTCCCCAATGCAGGCGCAAGTGGACCTCATTGTAATAACATCTTATTTACCAATGCATGTTGCATCACAAGCTCTGACAAGGTTTTTTTAACACGCTAAGTGCAGCAACGATTGTTGAAAAGTGGCGCTGCTGGACGGCTAATTTTTACAGTAAAGAGGCTCAGCTCTGCTCCAGACTGGAGGTGCAACACGCCACTGCAACACGAATGAATAAACTAAAAAAGATCGGTTGGATAATGAGTTATCCAACAAGAGAGTTCTGCAAACTCTCTCCTATGCAAAGATTCTCAGTAACAGTGATGAAATGTGAAGATTTTAAATTCATATCCTTGCACTGGGCTGTCCTTTCGTCTTCCCTCTCTCCCTTGCGTGATTTCATAACATCAGAAGCCATAAATGAGCATAATAAACATAAAACAAAGGCAGACCAATTCAAAGGGTGGTTAACCTTGGCACAATATCCGCATTACATCAGCAGCTCTGCTCTCTTTGTAATTATTAACCACTCAAATGGTCATATTTGTCGATCATTTGCCAGTGCAAAGGAATCAGCTATTTAAACAATGAGAAAGTAAAACGATTTACTTATGCAACCGTGCAGCTGACCGACGGAGGCTGCCGTCAGGTCTCATGTAAAATGATCCTGTTTGGGTCTGATTTCTACGATTTGTTCTCTTGTCGGGCAGCAGCTCGTGTTCCCCTACAACAACAAAGGTCGCCTCGTCTCTTTTGGTCAAGCAGGGGGGATCAGCGCCAGCTTGTTTGCATCCCCGACTATCAGATCAAACCCAGGCTGAACGGACATCGCCGTTGTTTGGTAAAAGGTAACCCTAACCTGTGTCTGTAAGCGTAGAACGCCAGATTCGGGTTTCAATTTGCCAAACAACCTAAAAATAGTCCAAGTGCGAGTCAGAGAGGGGACGGGACTGGGAGCAGCGTTGGCCTTACCGCGCTGGGCACCAGCAGAGTAGGACAGAGGAAGCGCCTGGTCTCGAGGAGCGAGGCCTCTGAGCAGGTCTGAGCGCTGCTGCGCAGCCATGGCGGCGGCCGCGGGCCACTGGTGCATCTGCTGCGAGGTGATGTAGTCGTTTATCAGGGTCTGACGGTTCTCCAGGGCCGTCGTGTCGGGGAAGCCGCGGATGAGGTAGGGGTACGGGTGAGGGTACGCCGGGTTGGGAGCCAAGTGGGAGCGAGGCAAGTAGTAAGCTCCTGCGAATAAAGAACAGGAAATGTTGAAAATCATTTGTAGTCATTTAAAGTCAGAGATGAGATATGAACTGATTGTTTTCTCGGGTTGCATTCAAGTGTTTCTGCAGGTTTCACCAAGTCAAGTTTAAGGCTTTGTGAGCCTATTTTGAATTCAATTGGAGACCAGCATCGTGACAGAAATGCAAAGACGAATATGGGATATTTTATGTTGGAGTAGCGTCAAGCTGTTCTGCACGGAATGTGCGTAACATCGTGTGGGTCACAATGTTAGATGCCAGTGGCGAGAACAAATGTTGTCCAGCTGACTGGTGATACATTTACACTTACATATGATGGACAAAAAACCCCCTGTGATTTACCTGGGTCGATGGCGATTCCACGAGGCAGCGCCGCGGGGTCAAAGGTCAAGGGGATGCGGTACATGTCTGAAGCTCCCAGGCCGGGCAGCAGCCTTTCGTAGGCCTGCTGATCTGCAACGCCGGTGAGCGGCGACTTGGTGGCCCTCATCTCTCTGGGAGTCGGTGTGGCTTTTCGCTCCTGGGAAGAATTCTTCCCAGACCCTGAATCAACAGGAAAAAGGGAAAAAAAAAAAAAAAAAGTTTGGAATCTGGATTTTATCAACAATAAAAAGTGACATATTTGACTGTGGTCTCATTCACTGCCTGTTACGAATAAAACCTTCATTAAAAAAACAAATAAAGTCACTGTTCCGTCTCCGTGTTGGATATGCAGAGTTCACACACTTTTCTCACAGGAACATTCAAACATTTTCAACGCATGTTTTCCAGCAGCACGTTTTGGAGAAAAAGACAATACAAACAATCTTAAAAAGAAAAAAGTTTCACTTTACTATTTTAAGATGTCAATTATTACTGTTTGTAGTGTCTTGTGATAGTTTTTTATATCCTACAGACAAGAAAAACAAAATGTTGTTTTGAAATATATCTCCTACACACCCAATATACTCAAATGGTCCAAGAATAAAAACCCTTTAATTTCATTAACGCTGTTTAAGCCAACCTTTATTTAAAAACACAGATTAAGTCATGTAGAACTTAGGAATGATAAATATTCATTACACAAAAACAATCCAAACAAACAAATGACCTTCCTGCTCAGATCAAATGTTTGAAAACACAAAGAAAGTTACAACAAAAATGTTCCTGCTATGTTCTTTGGCTTTTAGCAAGTAGAAATAATTTTGTTGATTCCAACTAACCTAAAACAAGAAAAGTTCAGTCTTATTTACCTTCAGATAGTGAGAAAAAAAAAGTCTGTCCTTTTTATTAGCTGTATGAAAATATCTGGTTTGAACTGTAAATAATGTTTTCCAAATTGAAGCTTTTAATCAATTAGATTGAACTTTATTGCAAAACTGAGAAGTTCAAATATCAAACACTTTGAAAACACTAAACTGAAAAACAAGCCTGGATGTTCCCACCTTCGTGTTGCCTTTGACTGGCTTCCCTGGGCAGCGGGGATCCACGATGCGACGGTCCAGGGTAGGGGGTCCGTATAGCACCTTTTTCCTCGTACCCCATGGGGCTGTGGTGCGCCTTGCCTCCCTGCTCAGAGCCCAGGGTGAGCGGAGAAGAGCGCGGTATGGGGCTGGCCGTGCTGACCACCGCGCTGGGCCGACCCTTGGGCCCCTCCTCATACCGACTTCTGTCGGGACGCATCTCCAGGTGGGAGGCTGCGTTGTGGTAGGAGCGCGGCGAGCTGGCGATGATGGAGCGGACATCGTGGCGTTTCCCAGAGCCGGCAGCGTCCGGCTTTCCGGCTGCGCCCTGCAAGAAACCGACCAGCTTAGGACCGCATACATCTTTACTGGTCTATTGTAACTTCAGATGACAACAAAAAAACTGAGAAACACATTTCAAATTTCTAATTAAAGCTCAACATCAACTTCAGTTTTGCTGCAATACATTCATTTTTTTTATGTTCTGCATAATATTTGGGAGCAAGAAAATAGCTGTTAAGATTGTTTAATCATTAATTTACTCCATGTTAAATAAGGACAGCCACACACCAGTTTGATATTCATTCAATAAAATTATATGACTGCACATCACCTCATATTTATACGTGCATTTGTTCCCCGGGTTCAAATTACAGGTCTCATAAAGTTAGTTTGACATACATGTGTCAGAAGCATTCCAGCAGCCGTTGAGAGAGCAGCAGATATGCGGGCCATTAAAATTCAGCTGAAGGCGTATTTTAACTACGGGTTCCTGAAAGTGGCTCTCCAGAACCTGACTTCCTGGAACCTTTTATCTATGCACGCTGTTCTTTTTTTTATGTGCGTTTCTATTGTCGAGTCTAAAACTGGGACCGTTTATGGAGATCAGGCCTTCCTGACGCTGAGCAGGAGCGGCGCTGCGGTCCGACGCCGCGGCAACGTCAGAGTTCAGAACGTGATTGAAACTACCGACATTGAGCTAATACAGCATTATTACATCTGAGATCGTTTCATAGAGGTCATACTTTAAATCCTGCCACATCAAACTGTGTGAAAATTTAGATTTTAAACAAACAATTTTATAGGAAGAAGCGACGGACTTTACAGGTTAAAATCCAGACTAGAGGCTTTGATGAGAGCGTAACTCTCCATTCCTGTGGAGATTCTGAGCAGATGTAGAAATCTGCACTTTGTTTAAATACAAAATCGCCACACTTAGTGAAAATATTTAATTAAACATATTCAGCATGAGCATCTGGGTTTAAATGTGAATAGAGGAGTTATTTATTAATACCTCAGTGGGGAAAATTCACATTTTACAGCAGCAAAGCAAACAAAATGTGCCCTATTGCATATAAAAGTATCCAACAACATAAACAGTGGTATATTAATAAAGTATCTACAGATAAAATCAAATTAAATTTATTAGAAACCTGAAAATCAGAGATTTCTAAGTATAGAATACGATTTGTGGATATGTTATAAAACATGACCAGCTGAGGGAGGAGGAGATTCTTGCGATTAAACGCAGGATATTTTGAGCCAGTGAGAACTGTTCTCTCTCTCTCTCTGTTCTATTTTTAAACAGTTCAACACGACAAGCAGTTCATTTCAAGCCTTCTTGCCTTAGTAAGAGTTAGCCATGATTTGGTCGTAACCCGGTGGGTGTGGGTGGGTTTTTCAGCTCTCAGTAACGGCGTGTTCAGAGCCGAAAGAATCCAACGGATGTTTGGTTGGGCTGGTCGCTGATAAAGCCGATCCAGCTGATGAATCAGCCCCCAAAAAAGAACAACGAACACATTCCTAGCCAACTGTGGAATGATGCGTTTCACCGTCAGGCGCATACCTGTGATATGATGCCCTCCTTGGATGATTGTCTGCCCTCGTCTCTTGGAATGAGGTGGATGGAGCGTCCAGGCTCCTTCACCGTGGGCACAACGCCCTCTCTGCCCTTCATCGGGTCAGAGAGGGAGCCGGCGCCACGGGGCGGGGACGCCTCTCGCCTCATCTGCTTGGCTTCCCTCCTCATGTAGGCATCCTGAGCGTCGAGATGGCGGGGTATACCTGGAATCAGAAGGTTACGTTCAACCCATTTCTCATGTAGAAACAACGGGCGGAACGTTTGGAGTGCATTTCAAAGCATCATACCTTGAGAGATGGAGCCTCGGATATGATGAGTGTCCTTGTACGACGCGTGGTGAGGGCTGTCTCTGTCGTAAGGCATGGCACGGCCGATGAGACCTGAGGCAAAGGTGGAACAAAGCACAGCAGCAAAGAACTGAGACGCTGTTTTTCACTGTGCTGTTAAGACCTTTTAATAAGACTCCAGAGAAAGAGCCATTGATTGGAGGGGTTTTTTCCAGCTGTCTGGTTTGCAGAGAACATTGCAGCGGATGAAAACTTTTTTGATCCCGTGTGTGTGTGATACTTTTAGAAGTGATGCGGCGGACATATTCATTTATACAGGCTAAGAGTGTATGAGTCTCCAGTGTGTTTATCAACAGTATGAATGTTTTAAGAAGAAATATTTCAGTCATGTTGGATATTTTTCTTTTTTTGTATGAACACAATGTTAAACCCATACTGGCTCGCTAACATGTCTCACTGCTGAATGCTGTATCAGTCAGAATAAATATCAAATGAGGTGTTTGAGCTCGCTCCCGTCTTACCTTCACAATTGGTAGCAGACAGAGCGTCTCTCATCGGCAGCCCTCTGCCTCCTTCCATGACATCATAGGATCGCTTCAGACCCAGGATTTCTCCAGACAGACCTGAGCCTCGGCCGTCTTCTTTGGGAGTCTGAGACTGTGGCCCTGTGATGTTCGTTCACACGGATCCGGTGTTTTATATAAACAGCTGAACACCTAGTGTGCAACCTGCCAGGTCAGCAATCTTATTACTTAAAGCCCGTGTACTCACGGTCATACGAGAGGATCTGCCCGCTGACGCCCTCGTACAGGATCTGCCCTTTAGATGGCGCCTCGTCCCGCTCCCTGTCGGCTCGGCTGGAACTGTCCTCTGAGATCAGACGTGATATAGTTTCTCTATACAGCACATCTGCTGGTGTCCCCTGGGGTGAAGAGACAAAAAAAAAAAGAGGCATAAACTGTGCCGTCTCTGCAAAAAGCAGCAGCCGCAGCCTGCCTATGACTTTGGTTAGGGTTAGTTATTATGCTGGTGCAGAAGGAACCACCAAACAACAAGCGACCATGAATAGTTAGGTTTATTACTCTCAAACTTGTTTCTTTGTATGGTACCGTCTTTAAACCCTTAATGCATAGTGGTCACTACTTTGGGCAGCTATCTAAAAGTCATTTTCTTGTGCTTCCTGTGGATTTTTATGTTATAAATAAAATATAAATGCATCAGTGGACATCATAAAATACACCATCAACTACTGATCATCAGCTGCAAATGCAAGAAATTATTTTTGTTAAATCTAATATGGCCGACAGACAAAAAAGCATGCCGACCGACCCGGTTCCTCCTTCCACTGTAAATGACTCTTCCAGGTAAAAAAAATATTGTGACATCAGATTATTTATTTAGTGACATTTTAGAGAAAAAAACAAAAAAAAAATCAATATCGGTCAAAATCGGAATTGGCAGGTGAAGCTTTTAAAGATCGGCGATCGGTCAGAAAACTACAATTGGTGCAACCCTAATAAAAACCGTGTGGGAACCACGTTATAATATTTGCATTTGGCCATGTAGGAATAAAGGAGTTCTAAAATAATTTCAGATTTGTTTTCATTACATTAGTAAATTATTTTGGATCCTCCTATTGACCAGCACACAAGCTGAATCCATTTGTGGTTTTTAGGCCCCTACCAACATTTTTGGAAATCTTATAGATAAGGACTTGCATACTCTAAAAAAAAAACAGCATTGTAGTGTTTAAGCAATGCTAGCTGCGCTAATCCCAAAAACAGCTTATAAAAGATACTAAAAACAATTTAAAATATCAGCTCTAACGATTTTGTCAGTTACATGGCGATAACTCTTCATCTAATAAAAATCATTTATCTTAAGGGAAAAATCCGAGATCAGAAAATGATTCATCCCTGCAACCATCACTGGAGATGATTATGGGCTTTAAAAGCAAGAGGAACTAGATGAACACCATCCTGATGCGAAAGGCAGGCGCTGGAGGGAAGTAGCTGTGTTTCCAAAACGCAGGAAGGAGCTCACCATCAGAGTCATTGACTTAAAGAAGCCAAACAATCTTATACAGAAGCCTGGCACTCCACTGAGGTCTGCTCTGGACAACATGGAGCCGTCTTCAGAAACCTTGCTAAACACAGTAGTCTACATTGTACACGTCTATGTATCATGTTTAAGCAGTTTCAGACTTCTACAGCTCATTTCTGCCCGCAGCAAATATCTTACACATCGTTTTAACCAGACAATGTGTTCAATCAAAACATAAAAATGAACACGAATCTCTGAAGCAAAGCTCCAGAGCTTCTAAACGAAGAAAAGGTGAAGCGGCTCGAAAGCAGAACATAACATTCGTGAGTCTAAACTAAACCTTGAATAACATCACTTGTGCTGGGCATGAGTCATATTTCTCCATGTTCTGATTGGTCAAGAGATGATTGCATGAGTGGATGGTGAAAAGGAGAGACAGCAGTTACTGGGAGAGGCCTTATAATCGGCTGGCTGCAGCTTTTCCAAGAAGTGTTTACCAAAAGAGTGGGGAGAGGGGATGGATGTCTGTTTACAAGGTAGTAATGACTAAAACAGTCCTCACCTGCTCTCCAAGAAAACCTCAAACACACACACACACACGCACGCATGCACGCACGCGCACACACACACATCCACCTACTAATCTGTCAAGAGTCGTGCTAAACAAGAAGATGAATTTTCTTTTTTTTTTTTTTTCGCCTTTAATGTTGGCGGATGACGGCCTCCTCTGTGCTTGTTTGCTCTCCAGTGCCAGTTGGATGCGACACCGGAGTGGGCCTATCAGTGACCAGGTTTAGCCACCATCGAAAGTACACGGATAAATAAAAGAGGGAACAGATGCGGCACAGCGTGTCCCCGTTGCCACGGCTACGGATCCATTCAGAGCTGCGGTTATGTCACAGTACGGCGGAAATCCAGCAGCAGCCACCGCCGCACATGGTTTGCCGTTTGACCTCTCACCAACTCTCGTCTGTTTCTCTTGCATCACAGGAGCAAACGTTGAAAAAAAAAAAAAAAAGAAAAAAACGTGCAGGAGCCGCTCTGTGTTTGATAGCAGCTTGTGTGTTCAGAGGGCAAAAAGCTGCGTTGGATTTTTTTTTTTTTTTTTGTGTATGTGCATTTTTTAAGAAGTAGCGTAAACGATTAGAGGATGTGGGCGGAGTGCGAGTTTGTCTGTGGCGTGAACCTTAACACGGTTTTACAGTGTTGGTTTCAATTTGCGTCGACTGTCAGTCTCAGGTAAATCACATTAACCTCAGCAAAGCTCTCTGAACTGCAGTCAAAGAACAAGAAGGACAAAGTGTGGCGCGCAACAGGTGCTCTCATTTTTAAACGCTATTTCACAATATGTTGGGAGGTTTTCAAAAAGAGGAAGAGGACAGTCGGCCACAGGACAAAATGAAACTCAAGCTTGTACTGTGTCAGCACAATATTTATAATGTGCAATCGTGAGGCTGGTTGCTTTAGAAATGGCGTCAGTAATCCTTAAACTTAAAGAGACATTCTTGCTCTCATGCCAGCCAAATAAAACTTTTCAAGAGTCGCAAAGTCACATGACTTTTAGAAAGTTGTACATAAAAAAGTGCATAGCTTCCAACTTAAGAAAATATGATCTAAAAAACATATTACCAGTGCTTATATTGTCATACTTTGTGAAAATTCAGATGAAATATTTCAGGAATAAAATGAAGAACCGCAAAAACCTTTATTCATTGTTATATCTAGCTTTAAAAATATTAACTGGGTCTTTTTAATTTTTTTGCAAAACTTTTTAACAGCCACTGTGTCACTTGTGGCTCTGGTGGTTGCAGATCCTTGATTTAGACTGTTTCTGTGAGACCAGGTGTATGTTACTCCTCTCTTTCATATGAATAGTTTTAAATAGTCTGGCTTGCTGGTCTGAGCTCACCTGTGTGATGGAGCCCCCTCGGTAGGAAACCGCAGACTCTGGGTGTATTCTGGTCCCAGGAAGACCTTTGGTGATGCTGCCTCCTTGGACGCCTGGATAAGAGAAAGATTTCATAACAGCTGAAGGCTTTTTTTTTACTCTCTAGAAAAAATAAAAGAAAATGAAAAGGTTAATGAAATACAGTAAAAGTACAGTTAGAACCTCCTCGAATAGGTCCTTATTAAATTATTAAATGCTATACATATAAATTTGACAGCTTGAAATTGGCCCCTGTCTCTTTAAGAAGTTCCCGCTCTCTACATCGTGCCATTTACAACCGTTCTTAAGAATGTTGCACTGAGAAGGAACTCGGATAATGAGCTCAGTTTAGTCCAGGTGTTTGTTAATTGCTGCTGCCGCTAGTCTGGAGGAGCCGAGTAGGGAAGGCAGGAGAGGAGGGCTCTGTAAGACGGAAGCTCTGAGGAGCGTTAGCTGGATAGCTAAACAAAGTCACATGTCCAAGCCTCTCCCTTCCAGAAACACAAACAAACGGCAACAAGATGGGAATAAAAATCTACTCCAATATCGGCTCAGCTTCACTTATTGGACTAATTCTGATACGTTATAAAATGACAAACATTGGCCGATTCTGATGCTAACATAAATGTATTGTGCATTTCTAGCAAAAAACATTTTTCTACAATTTCCGGATGTTATTCCTACAAAACCACAAGTACAAAAGCACAGCTCCAGGACCAATCAGTTGTCTATGAATGCATAATAAAGTTAGGAAGTATTTGCACCCACCACGAGCAGAGGAGTTATCATGAGGCGGCCCTGGGTTTGATAAGTTATCAGGCTGGGAGGAGCTGTGAGGAGACAGCTGCTCCTGCTTCACCACTGGGAAAGGACCTGCTGCATAATGATGAGCAAAGTCAGATCACAATGTCAAAAAATAGAAAAGTATGTAAAACTATTTAAAAAGAAAAAAAATGAATGCAATTGAATTCGGTTTTGGTTTTACTCACCAACTTTCTTCTCGATCCAAGACAACCCCATTGGTGCGGGAGGCAGCTTTGTGTGATCCAGCCCGTGCGCCGCTCCATGCAATTGCACCGGCGTACCCTGAACACACACACACACACACACACACACACACAAGGTCATCAGTGTAACGAATTGAATTGGACAATAAATTGTCCCGAAAGTTATTGTGATAAACGATAAAACTGTTGTTTTGGGGCCATTTTCAAGTGATATAATGGGAATGGGATAATAAAACAAGAAAACATGCTCAAAGTTGAGTAACCTTTCAATTCCAATGAACATTTAACAGTGGAGCTGGAAGACATTTTAAATACCCAAAATAAATAAACGAAACAGAAACGACAGATAAAATAAATTATAAAATCTCTAACGAAAACTGTCCTCCAAAAAACACAAAAGCTTTGCTGAGATCAAAGCTTTTGTCATACAAGTTTTTGGTAGAAAGAGAGAGACAAGAAAAACGAAAAATCATGTGAATGGAAATTATTGAGCTCGTTTTATTTTATTGTTTATTGCGACAGACCTATTCAATTACATCATCACTGCTCTTGCTTTTAAAAAATGTTAACCAATATCTCAAAAAAAATAATTGCTCGAAACATCAAAACTGAGTGTACACCGTATTTGTTTCTGCAACTCGACTATAAAACTGCTTATCTCATCGTTGTGGTGAGGTACCTGCGTGATGGAGCCTCCAGGCTTGTTAGAGGAAATGAGCGGCGGCGGGTCGGGCATGGAGAGGGGTCTCACTGCCGCTAACCGCACGCTGTCCTGTGGCAGACCAGCAAGCGAGGGGAACGCTGGGAGACGAAACGATAAAAGTTATCCTCTGCTGGTGAAACAGAGCAGCAGAAGCAGACGGAGAAGATTCCTCACGGTTGAAGTGGAGCAGGTGTTGGTCGTGGCTGATCTTGGCCATGTCCCGCGGGGCCATGGGATACGGCGAGAGAACCGGGCGACCCAGGCTGGAGGCCCTGAGGTCGTCCGGACCCAGGGCCTGCTTCTTGGCGTCGCCGTGTGGAGAGAAGGCTCGGGACTTTTCTAAAACATCATCACATGGAGGGAGTCAGCACCAAAGTAAAACAGGAAGCTGGACTACATCTAGTCTAAGAGGCCCTCCTCTGTGCTGCTAAACCGTCACACTGCACGTGTGAACTACTGCTGCTGCTGCTCTGAGAACAGTTTCTTCTGTTTATATAATGAACTGAAATCTTTGCCACTGATAAATATAATACAACCCTTGATGCCACCTCATTCCCGCAGTGACTCACCTCTGAATTAGCAGACGTGCGTGCAGAAAAAATAAAAAATAAATACACTACAACCAAAACCTTGAGCTATAGAGTTGTAGAAAAACACATCCAGGAGTCATGACAGGCACGTGGCGGGTGAACCTGATCGCCTAAAAAGCCTTTGAAGGGAAAGTGCAGCGCTGCAGCCTCTTAGCATTTTTCTGTTGCATGCAAACGCATCTGCACAAACTGCATTCACCACGTAATGTTTAGGCATGAGCTGGTATGAGATTCATGTGACGCGAGTTAAAATCAGACAATTTCACAGAATTGTGTCATTAAAAACTTCAAAGCAAAATGTACAACATGATCAAATTGATTTTATTTACAACTGAGCAGCAGATGGAGTTTGCGGTCATTCGGTCTTAAAGTAGTTGCAGAGTTTGGGTGTGATAGTTGCAAATTTTAAAAGATTTGAAATATATGCAGGCTGATAGCTACATATTTCTCTTCATTTTATAAGTTAAAAACACACAGGAATGCTGTTTGAAATATATTTTTACCGAATTAAGAAAAAACCTGAAGTGCTAATAAATCCACTAAAACTTTATTTGCCTTTTTTCCAGTCAAACGTTCCAGAAAACGTTTGTGTCGTTGACGACAACCTTAGAGAGCACAGATGTGTTGCAACCAAGTAGTTGACCGTCTCTTTTTTAAAGCTGTATTAGTAATGGGTGGCATTTATTTAGTTTCCACACAATGACTGTGCTTTTCTTTCAACCAGAAATATTAACAGGGAGCCAAATTTATTACGCCTGAAAGCAGAAAAAAAAAAGAAAAAAGAAAAAAAAGAAAGTGCAGGATCCGTCTTTTCAGCCAGTTGACTGTCAGGTCGGAAAATGGCAGAGCTGTGCTCCCCTATAATTCAATTAGCTGGAGAAATCCCAGTCAGTCCAGCATTTTCTCTGGGATTTTATTAAAATGACTTGAAACTGCAAGAGGATGATAGAAAACATTAAAGGTATGAACGGCTGAACTTTTCAAACCTCGGTACCGATTACAAACGTTTTCTGTCCTGAGATTACAAAAAAGAAAAAAAAAAAAAGAAAAAAAGAAAACATGCAATAACTTGGAGTCAACATTTGAACGGTTGGGTAGAAAATGCCTTCATTTATCTGAACTAGTCTTCCACAGAGTCGCATACGAGCCTGACTGTAAGCTTGCTGAATGAAACTATATTCCCTTCTGGGTCAGTAGCAGCACCAGATCGTTCATCAGACCCCTTCTGTCCAGGAGTGTCCCAGAAACGGTTAAAGGCCCTAAACAGTGGAGAACAGACTCAAGGTCAGAGCCTCTAGAACAGACCTACTTAATAAAAGTAGATCAAAAGCCACTAGAGCTGCACGCTGAGCAGGATTTTAATGTACCCAGTTTTTTTCTTTTATTCAGCATATTTATAAATGTGTACCTCTATAAATAAATGTATGAATACCTGAGTGTACCAGGTCATGCAGACTAGGCTTTGAGCATTTAGCTGTAGGGAGGAACAATAAGGTCTTAAAAAGTTACTGATATCAACAATGCGGAAATTATCTGTCATACTTTTTCAATTTAATAAGGCTCCTACACATTCCCAACAAAAAACCCCAAAAGAACAAATGCTTATGGCCATGACTTTAACACGTTAATTTTGATAGATTATATATATTGAAAAGCTTTAGAATATTTTATGCAAACGATCCTAAAACACATGACAACCGAATGGGTACAAGCATGTGGCACCAGTCTGAACAGGTTACAATAAAAACAAATATCTTTGTTGTTGAGCTCGTATGTCTATTTAGTCAATAATGTAGCAACAAATGGGGATTCTGAATTGAAAATGTTGCTTATTTTGTTGATATATAGAAAATGAGATTAATTAATCTCATACGTTGCAATTAACCCAGGTTAAACATTTTAATGGTGTCTCACCACTGCAAATGGTGGTCATGGTATGGAAGCCCAGAGAGTCCAAACAGTCACCTTCGTCGAGGTCAGAGCTAACAAGTTGAGAACAGCAGGCCAGCTACGGGAGCAGATAGCCCAGCTAACTGATCAGCTAAAATCAGCTTGGTCTCTTTTGTCCAATATAACTCTGTTAACAAATAAATGTATTCAAACGTTCTTTATTACGTCAACATTCAGAGAAGGATAAATAAATATGAATAACATTGTTATAGGTTTGTTATTTTTAGCAGCCTTGGGAATAAGAGTTGCTTTTCTGGTTGAAATAGGAGTGATTAGATTGCGTTACATGTTTGGTTTCCTTGACTTTTATGATCCTATGGTGTTGTTTTCACTCAAAGTTGCCATGCTATAAAAATCTCATACCAGTCCATGACTAACACAGAGAGAAATTGGGTAAAAAATCCCAACAAATATGTTTGTGGGCTCGTGCAAGTGAGCCTACATTTGACTCAGAGCGAAAACAAACCGTTCCGAGGCGCGTACCGTCTTTTTCGCTGGTGGAGGGGCTTCGAGGGCGAACTCGGGGGCTGCTGGTGAGAAGACCCTCTCGCTCTCTGTCTGCCTGAGGGGCGTAAGGCTGCGGTTTGCCTGCTTGGCCAGAAGGCTGCTGCTGTTTGACTTCCTGAGAGGACTCTCCGTGAGCCATGGTGATCTGCTCCTGGTACAGAGCCAAGGCGTGGGGGGGCTGCACTGCTTTCCCACTCCGCGGAGTGCCCTGCACAGAGGCCTCTGGCATCTTCACAACGAGAGAACACAGAAATAAGACGGTTACATACAAGCGCCAGCTCCTCCCAGGCACCGACATATGGCTGGGCTGCTTACAGTATCTGATCAACGTGATAGCAAAAACTCATCTCTTATTTCTTGGCGAGCTAAAGTTTCACTAATCCCTGGCATCTCGTTTCTGCCCCACAAAGCAATCCATCCCATCATCGTCCATCTGGCTGCCTTATCTTAAACAAATATGACTTCACCATTTCACCTGCTGTAACCGCTTGATTCTGCAAGTTGAGAAATGGGGACAGCGCAGATACGGCTGCAGAGATAAACCGAGCTGTTTTTAGGTACAGGACACAATTTTGCGTCTAAGCCCCAAAGTCGTAAAGGCTGAGATTTTCTACAATCATTAACCTATTAATGGGAAAAAATACAAGCACAAGACCCTGCAGAGCAACTCACAATAGGTGGTATAGCTGCAGCCCTCTGTTTGAGCTGCTTCAGGTCCATGGGCTTCTGCAGAGACGATATGACCCCGTCGTGGGAGAAGTTCAGCAAACTGGGGCGTGGAGACGTCATCCTGTAAAACACACAGACAGAAAGTATTAACAGGCCGACGGGGGGATGCAACGTTTCCTGTTTACTGAGCTTGCAAACAGATGACTAGCGCCATCATTTAAAGTGCCTGGTTCTGCTCGTTTTAAACATCTGCAACTGAATTAAGAGTATAGAGTCTGATCAATTTAAGAGCTTCTGAAGCTCAAAAACCAATAAAGTTTAAAGATACTCTGAAGTAGGCAGGTTTTAAATGGATTTAACTCAGAGGTCAAAACTTGTTTCTTGGAAGGCTGTTAAGTTAGATAACCTGGAGGATGCATGAACACTTGTGTCCGCGAAACGTCCCGACGACTGTCCTTTATACAAGCTGAGAAACACAACAGCGTAGGAACAGTCGATTATTAGACCCAGCACAATAATATGTCGGCAACTGAGGAACGCACAGACAGAAAAAGGAAATAACACACCAATTAGTTAGCCAGAGATAGAAATGGGAACATTTTCCTTTCATTGGCACTCAGCAAGCAAAATGCTTAAAAAAAATTAAAAATAAATAAAAATCTTACTGTTCACTTAATACATGAACAGACAACATGTTCTTGAATGTGCTTGTTTAGAGTTGAGCAAAATTAAAAACATTTAATAAAGGTTATTGATGTTTAACCCCGTATGTTCACAGTGGGCAAATCCCAATCTTTTCACAAAAAAGTTCAATGCATAGAACCAAATCAGATGCGTATCCAACGGTTTTAAAAGCATCTGCAGTCTGACTTTTTTCCGTCAAAGACGCAACATGAATTATTATTCTGCACCAGAAGAAGCCAGATGAAGTAAATCTGAATGTAAACAATGGCTGGATTGAGCAGTGTCAACTCAGCTTTCTTTTTTCTTAGCTTCCTAGTGTCTTGTTTTGATCTCGTCACAAAACCGTGGGCTTCCATTGCTAAAAAAAAATAAAATAGATCCACAGACGGGGGCATCCATTATTACCTCCGTAAACAGTGCGCTGCTGTGTGACGTCTACATTCTTTTTCAGTGCATCCGTGTTGCTAAGAGCTTGTAAAGGTTCACACAGAAGTCTGATTGTGGTCGCATTTCATTCGTATGATCAACCATGCAAAAAAATTTATAAAAAAATCGGATTTCAGCAAAAATAAAAATTGGAATCGCGCATCAAGACCAGCCCTGCGTCAGTCATTGGTTGAGGTTTCGCTGCGAAACTATGCGCTCTCTCTCTCGTCCTGAAAACCGACTCATCTGCCTGTCTGTGTTTCTAAAGGAGAGCCTAATGCTCTTAACTTTTTATCTTTCTCCAACATAGAAAGAACTGCTGGACCAGTGCTTCGTTTCTTCTTTTATGTGCAGTGTTTGCTCCGACTTCTCAAACTCGAGTCGATCCTTCTTCCTGCTAAACGGGAGTTTTCCTTTCCGCTGTCGCTACATGCAAGTTCATTTTGAGGGATTGCTACAGAGCTAATGCTCGTTGCAATCGAATGTCCGCTGTCGCTAGATGCTCATCCAGGAGAAACGTTTTCTTAAATCTGAATAAATCAATTGGAATGCATTTACTTGATTCTGAAACGGTATGATTCAGTTTATCTGACTTTTTATTGTAAAGACGACATATGTTGTGAATTGGTGCTACATGTTGGTCAGATTTTCCTGATTATTTAAAGCTTAAACATAAAAGCAAAGACTGATTGGGAGTTTGCTGCTCAAGCCGTCAGGATATTAATTACGGCCTTCTTTGGGAGGTATTTTAGTGCCGAGGGAGAAAATACAAGGCCGCTATTTGTTATTTATTTTTGAACCAACATAAATGGTGGTGAAAATTGTCGGATTGTTGCAGTAATGAGGATTTAGGAGAAAACTCCAGGCACCAACACTCGGTGTACTCAGTAAACATTAGAAAGGTAAATCGGTTAAACAAAGCTGCTGGGTTTTATGAGCTCTTAACCATTATGCTTCATGAAAACGTAGGATTTAGAAATGTTGGAAAAGTTTGACCCGAGCCAGAAAATATTTACAATCTTGGACATTTTACAGAAAGCGGTCAGATGCAACGATGCTAGCTGTGCTGCTGCTCACACCAATTGATAAAATAAAATATATATATATTAAAAACAGTCAAAAAAGATATGAAACGTCAATCCGATTTTGACTCATCATTTTGGATTTAGCCGTTAAATTTACACATGGTGTAACATGGCCTCTGCCTATAAATGATGAATGATCGTTCACAGCTGGTACATCTGCAGAGCTGCCAATCATTTTCTACTGTCTGCAACAACCTATCAGAGTATTTTACCATAATTTTCCTCAACAAAACCACAAAGTCAACAGCAGAAACTTATCTTAAAATCACCGTTACAATCTGAAACCCCAAGCCTCCAAAAGCCACAAGTTGTAGCAGGATAACAGACGATGATTGTGCAGTTTATTCATATTACCTCTGACAACACAATGGCTTAAAACAACACTAAGGGTATCTTCAAACCATATTATCCGATAAACTCAGTTCGATTGGGGATAAAAATTGCAACATTTTTTACACTTTCAGCTGATGTGGTTTGCACTTCGTCAAACTAACCAAATCTTTAGAAAAACCTGTTACCCTCTCGTCTGTAGAGGCGCTACACCGAGAGCAACTTCTTTCTTCAATGTGAACAAAATTGGAGTAGTGGTTGTAGGATTTCTCTCGTCTTTGATAAAAGACCACGAGTTGTTTCTCCCACTAGCGCTGGACACTCATATCTGTTTTGGTTGCGTTTACCCAGAATGGACTGCGCTGCAGTTTGCGTCCTGCTTTTCCAGGCAAATGAACTGGAGTTTGACTAAAGCGGACTAAACAGGGCTGGTGTGAATGCTGCCTTAATGTTCAAGTGAAGGATTTCTGAATCGAAAACCAGCAGACGCCTGAATTCAGAAAATCGGCATTGGACAAAGACCCAATGAACATCGAAGCATCTCGAAAATTGAGATGAGCAAAATCAAGATGAAACCTCAAAGAAAACTGCACTCCATAGTCTGCCTGAAAAAGACTACTGATCCTTGCATCTGTGGGGAAATCAGTGTATTATTACTGCCATTTCTCAACCAAAAGGCAAGCTTATTCCATTTCACAGAAGAGAAATTTTGACTTCCAAGTAATTTTTCTGAGTTTGCAAATGAATATAGAGATTATCGGGAAGGCAGCTCAGATTTGGTGCACATCAATAAACTGATCATAGCAGCTTTTTGCATCGTAAGCATTTTTTTTTTACAGTAAAGCTCCACTGAGCCTTTCTAAAGCAGCGATGATGTAGATCTTATCACATCAGCAGTAAGCAACGTATGGTAAAGATCTAAAGTGTATGACACATCCACAAACATCTGAACACAACAAACTGATTTAATGACACACTTTTAAGCTCACAGCACAAGATTACTAAGACAAATACACACACACACGCACAAACACATTCCCTCCCTCCTATTGTTTGCTTTGGCAGAGAGGGCAACATTTCCCTCAGCTCTGCCAGTACACGCAGTCTGCTGTCATGGAAAAAAAAATTGAACAAACACTGCGCTGACAGGACTAATCATTCCTCCCACGAACTTTGACACCCATTTGTTCTGGCCTCATTCACAGACTCACTCACACACATCATATATTCACGGTGTATATATATATATTTCACAGAAGCTGCTATGATTGATATATATATATATATATATATATATATATATATATATATATATATCGTTTTTCATTCATTCAAAGTGGAAATAAAATCCGTGGTTGATAGGAAGGAGCAACCTGTGGCACACACACACAAGTGGCTGGACAAATATGGTTCCCCTGCCGTACAGTGTAGCTAGGCAACTAATGCCACTTCAAAACCCTCGCTGCTTTGTTTTCTAGTGTTTGCTGTGGTAGACCAGAGAAGTAGGACACCCAGAAAGATGCTTCAAAAATCAGCCGCCCTTTGACTAAAATAATAAACGAGGAAGGAATTTAAAAAGGTTGTATAATCAAGCTTTCTAAATCCAGTCCTAAGGGAGTCTCACCTTTTCTTATCTGTGTTATCCGTTTCCTCCACCTCATCGGCGCTACAAGTGGCACTAGAGTCACTGTCCCCATGCAGACCTGCTTTGGTCAGGTGCTCCTTCTTGGAGCTCTTGGAGGTTTTGACTTCCTCCTTCTCGACTCTTGGAGGTTTCTTATCTGTGGCATCGCTGGGTGGTACGGGCTGCGGCTGTTCCTTGTTGGGATCCACTGTTTCGGTCTTTATCTCCTGCTTGATGGCCGACTCTGCCTCCTCCTTGACGGGAGGCTTCTCGTCGCCTGCCTGGTCGTCCTTCCTGTCCTCGGTGTTGGAGTTGCCCTTCGGCCTGCTGGTCCCTTCCTCTTTGGCCTTGCTGTCCTCCGAGGAGTGCGGTGAGGGCAGGCTCTCTGTGTCCGAGCTGTTGTTTGCTCCACCTGGGAGACAGTGTACAAAAAGATGAACAGATTAGGATTTATACTGTAAATCATTTTATGTCCCTCTAACCCTTTTCTCTTCCATCCTCCCCCCATCTCCATCTGCTAGACCAGATTCTTCACAATGCCAGTCTTCTGACTAATCAGGTTTCAGGGTACAATAAAGGGGGAACATAAAACCATTTGTGGCGATGGATGCAATCTCCTGAGCATTCACCACTTTGCTGTGGAAATACAGCACATCCAGCATGTTTCCATAAACAACTGGATTTGCTTTCTACTGTTGTAGCTGCTGAAACCAATTAGTCATACAAAGGTACTCAGTAAGTTTAGCTGGTAAATTCTGCACCGTTAACAATTCACACGCCTCTCATGTCATGGACACGTTTAGCTTAAAGTGTTTCTATAATTTTGCTGGTTTTACTTCCACAGAAAGGCAGATTGCAAGCCAACACCTGATAGTTTGTAAAACTACTGTTCACGCTAACTGACGTACAGGTGTTGGGCATCGCCAACTAAAAGGTTAGTTGCGCTAATCCTGAAGCTCTTATCATAAACATTAGCTTTGCTAATGCTAAAGCGAGACATCCAAATGTAATTTAAAGGAAGCCAACGCTGAAGCACCAACTTTAACTCAATTTATAGTTACCCATGAAAGATCACAACCCTTAAACACCATTTTAATTTGACATTATATGTTTGATTACATGAATTTCATGCGCTATAATGCCCTTAGATATTGTGTTTACATTTATATCTTGTTTTCCAAAGTCCATATGTTATTTTGTTACAGTATGTATGAATAAAGTTATTGGGGGGAAAAAGGAGAAACTAACTGTGAGGAGAGGAAATAAAACTGCTAACCCTTCACCTCTTTCAAAATAAAATGATTAACATCCAACTACTTGAAGAAACAATAACAGTCGATAACCAAAACTTCAACAAAACTCTCGAACTTTACTCGACTAAAATTTTGCAACACAGTCCATTAAAATAGAGCTTTAGAATTTATCCTTAATAATTAACTTAGGGGAAACTAAGTGCACTAAATGTTTTCAAAGTTAGCTAAAAGCACTAAATAAAAAAATTAGCTCTGGTATTGGCACATTATTGGAAGAGTGCCCACAAAGGCCAAAATCATTCATGTCAATGAAACCATTTATTCTGAAATATTCCTGACAACTGTCACTGGCTTTGTAAAAAATACAAAACAAATCTCCTGTGCAAAATGTAAGAGCAAAAACTGATGAGTAAGCTAAATTCTGCCTATTCCTTCTTGTGCTGCAAAGATATCTGTTGGGACTGAGGGTCTTTAATTTATGGTAACATTTTAGGTTTTGTTAAAATAGCAACACAAAAAAAAATATTTTTGAAAAATACTAATTTACATCAAAAACAAACCATATGCAATTCTCCTTAGCTTACAACAACAGCATCGTTCGGTTAAACTTCCCCTATGAGACCAACAGAAAGGGAAAAAGAGAAGGCTGAAGGATGCCACATGCTAGCTAACACTACGACACAAATGTTGGGAGCAACATAAGAAGGCCAGCAAAACTCCTGTACCTGCAGCACTGAAGTAGTAAACCTTCTGGCGGACAGAAGCTAATGCTAACTGTTTAAATATTTCCTTCACGGTCACAGACAACTCAATGACTGTGTTCTGTCAAGATGCATTTCCCAGTGTCAAAGTTCTGAATTACGCCACTCTCCGTTCTACTGCGGTACAAATTAACATTAAAAGCAGGAAAGTATTTAGTTGCAGCTCAGTCTGCAACTAAATACTGTAGCAACAAAACAAGCCAGTGTGCCCCTGTCCATTACTCCTCCATTTAGTTGTAAAGGCATTGGAGGCTAATGTGGCTAATAATAACACAGGTCATGTCTGAGCCAGACTGAAGCTGACAATTAGAGCAGTAAAAAGTAGAAACCCGTAGCAACCAAACCTGCTGCAGCACTTAATCACTGAAGAAAAATTACCAGATTTTACAGGGACTACTGCTGAAGAAATATGCATGGATCAAATCCTTGCTTACACTATAAAAAAAAAAGAAAAAAGATTTGCATGCACCAGATCCATGTTGGTTTTGAACACAATTTGTGTTAGCGTGGAGTGATCCTTTTTGTCACTCAGTGGTGAAATTTATTCACATCAAAAGCAAATTGAAAGGCAAATGGAAGCACAGAGTAGAACACGACTAAGATAAAATAAAAGTGTGATTGACTCAAAGGCACATAGGATATAAACAATTATACTGCCATCTCGTCTACCACTTTGCAAAACTCAGAGAAGACAGTTTCAATTTCTGTTTGTTTAAATGAGGACTGAATTGTCCCGTACTGTTGAAACTTAAAATACTGACATATTGCAATTAATCACATTATAGAGTATGAAACCTCAGCATTGTGACAACTCAACTATACTTATTAATACTCCCAATTAAAAGAAAGTTTTGGGAGGGATCTTGAATGTTGTTTTTCCCCTAATTGCATGATGTTCCTAGGAATGATGTACCTTCTCCATCTTCAGGCGCTTCCTCTTCGTTGCAGCTGGCTCCTGAACCCTCGATCTCTTCCTCCTCTGCAGGATACGTAGCGCTCGCCTCTTCATTCTGCGAGGCTTTCCCCCTCCGACGGGCCTTTCGTTCCTTCTCCTGGGTTGAAACAAGAACACGCTTCACATGCAACCCCAGAGACACAGTCAAAGTACAAACATCAGCACTGTGGGAAGCAGGTATGGCTTCCTTACCGATTTCATTTTATGCTGCTGCAGAATCTCATCCAGTTTCTGCCTCTTCTTGTAATTGAAGTAGAAGTTTTTGCACTGCGACACGGTTTTCGATCCCACCATCTTGGAGATGGCGGACCAATTCCTACCATACTGGAGAAGGCCTGGAACCAACAAGTGGACAAGTGACGAGATTAGAGAAGGGACTTTGTAGTTAGCATTACCAGCTAAAAATCTGCAACAGTAGAGAAAAGAAAGAAGGTTCTCTCTGTGAGGAGGCAAAACCATCCCTGTAAGAAATGCATCACACAGGAGGCCAGTTTTGGGTAATCCATCATCAGTAATAAGTCGAGATGGCTTAAACTTTCTAAGCATATCAGTCTGCATCCACAAAGTCTAAACGATTAGGGCATAATGTGGTAGGTGGACCATCAGTCACACCAGCAACTCTCCCCACTGGGGTCACTTTGTGTCATATTTCTAACTGACTTTGATGTGACCCAATTCCAAGAAACCCAAGTCCTTTACCCAGTCAAGCACATGATTGTGTCTTACACAAGAGTCAACAGGCACCCGCTGGGCCTGAGCTGTGATGGATCAACCTGTCAGGAAACACACAAGCTCCCTTACGCGCACACGTAAACAATCAGGGAGCATACATGCTAAAAAGGGGCTACAGCAAGCGATCGCAGTGTGCAAGTCCCAGTGAGAAAGACCGTGCAGAATTTGCTCCAGTGGCCCTCCCTTTTAGAGTCTGCAGTTAGCCAAAGGCAGCTCATTAACTGTGTGTGTTGTAAGAGGCTTAGTTTACACCACCCACTTGCTTCCTGTGCCAGCCTGACAGGTCTTGGCAACAGGACAGGATTCTTGAAAGGTTGTTGGGGGCGGTGTGAGGGAGGAGGCAGCGGCGGCGGCGGTGGGGGGGTGTTATTAACAGGCACGCAGCCAGCACATCTTGGGATAACCTTGGACATGGGTTCAGAGGTCTCTGCATCTCATCGCTTAATGGAGCCGGTAAGGCCAGAGGAAGCTGCAGGAGAGGGAAGGACAGCTGTTTACAGCCCTGTCACTTCACTCCGTCAATCTGTCACAGACGCTGAAGCTCCCTCAAACTAATCAGCACTAAGATTATTACTAACAGCTGGCTAAAGAGTTGGACTACTGTTTACTCGGAATTTCCGCAAAGAAGCTTGTTGGTAAATTTTTGTTCCAAAGCAAATTTACGACTAGAGATGCACTAAGAAATCGGTTGCCGATCGGTTTAGCAATTCACCGGCCAGCCGAAAACTCGATAACATTTAAACTCGGGCTATCTCGCTTTGACAACCAAGGATTAAAAGTAGCTTTCTAGATTCGGAAAGCTGGTGCTTATGCCATTCCAATAAATAATTTCCAACAGCAGGAAGTCATGTAAACTTATTTGGGAGTCACAGTAAGTCAAAACTGGGTCAAACATGGTCCAGTTGAAAATACTTTCCTACAAAAGTGAAATAATCGTATCAAGTGATAACTTAATAATTTGAGTACGAATGAGTTTACTACTATTATGAAATGGTATTATGTAGGTACAAATTAGCAAAGGGGTGAACTGAAGTCTGAAACAACCTGAAGTCTAACCAAGCTATTACGGGTTGCACTGACAGTAACGCTCTTCAGTGTCGACACCGTTACTGAGTGAGGAAGAATCGAAGCAGGATATTTTTAGTGCCGAGTTTACAAATGAAGTCAGAGGAAACACACCCATGTAGAAACCAAATCTGTATTTTATACATTTAAAAGATAACAGGAAGTCTTTCTATTGCAAGGCAGCTATTTTCAATACTGTTGCAAGCATTGAAACTTTGTCATGGGGCCCATATAGATTCAAAAAAGTTGGCTACCATTTGGACGTCTCAGAGTTAAAATAAGGATCTATATTATCAACTCCAGCTCTGAAGAGGTGCCGTCTTGCAACATTTATATGCGTCAATGCTCGAACACGCCTTAAATCAATAGTTTTTCAGAATCTCGCCAAGATCTGCAGAGGCCATTCTAAAAGTTGGAGGACAGGACCTCTCAAGATCAGTTTTAATGATCAACTCTAATTATTTTGTGTTTTAATTAAGAGAACCCATGTTTAAGAGCCACTGCTCCCAATGCAAATAATCACATAAATAAAAAAAAAATACTTATGTCAGGGAGTCTAGAACACATTTTGAATTATGTTCATGTATCATATTATGATATACTTTTTAAGTAGAGTATCAAGCAACGCAGGTATCACAAAAGCCAGAGATCGGCAAACAGCTGCTGGAGTCTTATCGGTGCATCTCCACACAAAACTGATTTTTTTTCTATTCTGTCTGTAGGGGCATTAGATATCATCTGAGCACAGATCTGAGCACTAAAAGCAAAAACAACAAGTATTTGCTGTCAATTTTCCTATTAAGGTTAATTTAAAAAAAAAAAAAATCAACACGTGCAATGCTCCAGTTTGAAGCAGAAAAGCCTTTCTAGCAAAGAAGAGAAATCAAACCAGTTGCTCTAACTCTCTCCATGAGGACCAAGACATGTGACAAACACACATTAACCTTTTACAGCCGTCCCACAAGCAGATAGCAGGGGGGATTCCTTTGCCCTAAAAGTGCCTCGTTATCCAACATGCTCAAAGGCACCATTAGCCATCAAATATGCATATATAAACAAGTGAGACAAATTCTTTGGAGCAGCATGTATTAAAACTAAAACAGAAAGCAAAGTTCATTTACAGAAAGCAAAAGGTCACTTTGTCCCGACACCCTAGCTGCACAGTGTTGATTTAATCATAAGCCAGCACACAATACAAATCAGCTCTGGTCGACTCAGAAACTTAGCTGCCGCAGGAGCACACATGGCACAAACATCCAATAAGCGGCAGCCATGCTGAAACAGGTGGTGTCTCCACACCCAATCACAACACTCGACTTCCAGTAGCTCCTCCCTGAGAAAGTCCAATCAACACCTGGTGCGGCCAGAAAGTTGTTGTTCCTGTCTGTCACATGCCCTGTCCCTTGCCTCAGTCGTGGATTTTGCGGCCCAGCGGCGGAGCAGTTCTGTCGGACGCTCTGGTCTCTCTAGAGCCCCGGCTGGGAGGCTCTTCTGGGGCTGGGCCTTCCGATCCAGAGCAGAGGAGATGAAAACAGCTCGGTCGCTGTGCTCTTCCTGCCAGCTGGCTGGAAACTTGAGCCGGTGTCAAGTTGACATGCTCCGAAATGGCACATGCTCCTCTCTCTCTCGCTCTCTCACACTCTCCTTTTTCCTCCCGCTAATGTCGTCCCAGCGCTCCGGTGAGTGCTGCTGTGCTGTGCTGCGTCTCTTCCCCCAATGGCGGTCGTCTGAGAAGACTTCCACAGGAAAGTGGGACTGTGGGGCGGCGCTCTATGCTCAGCCTTTCTCTCCCTCATCTGATCTCTCCTATCTTTTTTTTTCTCTCCCTCCCTCCCTCTTTCCGTCGGTCTGTCCCGCCCCCTGCCTTGCTCTGCCAGCAGGCGCGCCGGCACGCACGCACACACTGGAACAGACAAACGCATGAGTGAGTACAAACTCGCTAGAACTCCCCCACCGCCGCCACCGCCGCCCCCACCCTCCCTCCGTCTCTCTTGTTAATACACTTGCACACAGACACAAACACACATTCAGGCAGTCCAAGAGTAAACAGAGAGCAGCGAGGGAGAGGAAAGAGATAGAGAGGGAGCCCAGCCACGGAGCCAGAGAGACAATGGAGAAAGGGAAAGGAAAGGATACAGAAGTGGAGAGTAAGAGGGGCACACAGGCAGGAGAGAGAGAGGAAGAGAGAGAGAGGAGTTGATGTTGATACCATGAGAAAGCATAAAGGCTTTCACATTTTTCCTGACTGACCTGCTTTTCATCTTGAATGTGACCTCTTCAGTTTATAACAACACAGAGTGAGGGGGAGAGGGAGGAAGGGAGACCGGGGGGCGGAGGAGGGAGAGAAAAGAGGTGTTTGCCAAATCTTCCACAGCTCTTGCCAATCTGGGCCGCTGCCATCTTCTGACCCAGAGACAGGAGCGAGAGACGAGAGCGGCGGCGGCGGCGCAATAAAGAGAGGAGAGATAGCGTGGCCTTCCCTGCCTGCTGCTCCTTTAAATGGGTTCCTCCTGCACCAGATTAGTGCACCTACATAAACCCCCGACCAAGACGGCTGCACACGAGGCTGAGAGAATGCAGACAACGGTCGCCAAGGGTTTATAGTGACCAGAGGTCGGAATAGGCCAGTTTTTCCCCTTGAACGGGCAGGTAAATTACTGAAAAACTCAGAACTCCCACCATCTGCATTACATAAAAACAATCAACTGCATGCATTTCGACGTGCTTTCTTGAGTTTAACAAAAACTAGTGAAGGTCAGGGAGACATATTTTATTTAGAGGTGTCCTGATGCAACTCTTTCACTTCTGATAAAGATGTTGCAGCTTTGAATATTGGCCAATATCGATAATTACACAATTAGATATCGACACGAATCATACATACTTTTGTAATTTATATTGTAGTGGGAAATGTTAGAAAAGGCTTGATCAAGTGATATCAGTGTAACAGAGCACAATATTCAACAACAACAGGAATGAGAACAACTGATTCATTGATTATTAACCAGCTGGTCTGCCTGCTTGTGTCCAAGATTTTAGATGCAGGACAATATATTCAGAAACTCGTTTTTGGCTGATAATTGATTTTGATATCAATATCGGATTGGGACACTTCTAGTTTTAATAGTTCTATCATAGAACAACCTGCACATTTTTGACTCTTATTTGCACTTTTTCTATAGAAAACAAAAGCCAAAATCTGAATAAACAGTCCTCAATGAAAATCTGAAACCGGTAGCAGCCAGGAAAAATCTGATCAGTGCAAACCATCCAAGTAGTGTGGCAGAGTCGTTGCTTAAGGCTAAACTGGCTGGCAACAACACGCCGGAGCGCTGATGTTCTGCCAAGAACAGTAATGTCATTATTCAGATCTGGTTAGCTCAAGGGGATAAATACAATAGCATCAGGACACCTAAGCCTCTTTAAAACATATACATATCAAGCACATGACTTGGAAGAGCTTAATTCAACACTGTGCAGAAACGGGCCGAGGAAGGCAGCGACGTTCAGCGTCTCGGAGCGACGCAATCCCTATGGGCGGGTTAGAGGATGGTTGGTAGAGCTGATGAAAAACATTAAGAGCAGCTCCTCCTCTCCGGCTCTACTGAACTGTAGCTGGAGTCCTGTGTTTGTGGTTACATAAGCCCTTCATAGAAGCTCTGCTTCGACTGAGCTGCCAGGCTAATCCTCTGGGATGGAGTGCCCCACTAATCCCACGGCAGGAGAATGGAACTGAAGACATTAACCAGGATTACTACACAGGACCGTGTTCAAGCAAGGCCAGCGGCAGTTATCACTAAATAACCTCGTAACTCACAGAAAGAAAAAAAACACACACACACTTACTAGGAGACACTACCTAAAGCTGAGCAGATTTAAAGTCAGTTTTGGTTGATTCAAAATGGAGGACAAGGACTAGTAATAAGAAGCAGAAAGGGGTCACACCAGACAACCTCAGGGTATCTGCAAGTCAAATTTCAGACTTTTTAACGCCACCTTGAATGAAATGCATGACTTGTAAACTATAAATATAAAAAATGATTGGAGGATCCTGCTGTATTTCAACCAAGCATTGCAAAAGCCTCTGTAGCACCAAACTTAAAACTTTTTTGTTGTTGTTTTTTTGCATTGTATTGGTTGGCAACAGAAGTAAGCCAGTGGTGAAAAGTTAATGTTGTCCAGCCAACTGGTGATAAATTTGCACTTACCCATGGCAGACACAGGAAAGCTAGCCAGCTAACGAGGGTACATTAGCGGCTAATTACCGGTAGCCTCAACCACCTCAAACCACAGAATGCAATGAAGATGTCTGCATGAGACTCAAACTTTTACCAGACAGGACAGCCTGGTACAATTTAAGATCATCATACATAAGGACAATTTACAATTTATAAAACAAATTTATGACATTTTAAGGAATTAACTTTAAATGCATGAATTTAAGACTTTTTAAGGATGTGCGGACACTCTGAGTCTAACCAAATACATATGAACGGCACCAAAATAGCTGCCTACTCAGGAAATCCTGACAGATGTCAAAATTTAGAACTTTAAAAGTCTGACATAAAAAACAAGAGATGACCGATCCATCGCACACTTTATATTGGCTAAAAAAAAAAAAAAAAAGGCCTTTCCTCGCTAAGCGCTAACAGGTAGAGCTATACCCAATTCTTCAGTGCATTCGGATTTTGATTTTCCTCTGTAAACAAAACTACTTTGGCCAGCTTCTGCATCAATAACATATTTTAAGAAAAAACCCTGATAGATGTAAGAAGCAATTAAAACTGTATCATCTGCAGCAGTGGCTCCTCATGTTGATCCTCAGAATCCACTGTCCCTCATGGTTTAAACGTGTAGCAAATGTTAATGGAGTACAGAGAAATTATTATTCTACTTTGTACCATGTTACAAAGTATTGTGTTTTGGATGTTTAAGACAGCGAAAAAATGTCAACTTAGTAATAATTTTGTCCTTTAAAAAAAATCAATAACATAAATAAATAATTATTGGTCACTTGATATTGTTCATATCTTCACAGAATTCTTGAAGAAAAGTGGACTCAGCTATAGTTTATGTAACAAAAACCAGATATCTGAGATGAAATATTCTAGCTGGTGCATCTCTAGATTAAGACAGAATGGTGAAAACTTACGAATGCAAAAAGTCAAAATTAAATAAAATTGTTAAATTCAATATGATAACTAAACATATTTGAGGGAAATCATCAGCAAAGATCAAAGAATCCCACATAGAAAAGCTGTATGCAGAAGAGCTTGCTGAATCCGAGAAGCTCAATCAATCAGTAACTGAGGTTCAACCAATATACAAATCAAATACTCTCGGAAACACTCACACGCACGCACGCACGCACACACACACACAGAGCTAGTGCTGAGGAAAAGCGGGGCAGGATGGCAGTGACCTCTGCAAATCAGCCATAGGCTTTTGGGTAATCTTCAGTCAGGGACAATAAACAGCCCGAGTTAATGACTGCTGCATTCGCAGGGGCTTGCTGATAAGGGACAGACTTTACAGCCTCCCTGATAAAAGCCGAACCGCCTTGACCCACAGAGAAAGGGAAACGGCTCCAAAGAGCAACAAACGCCTTTTCAGGCAGACTGAGAAGCACACGCACAGACACAACCTCGCAGCACGTGGCAGCTGCCGCCTCTCCAACAGGAAGTCACACCCGCGTCGGTCGGCAATGCTTTCAAACGGCGCTCGGGCGGCTAACGCTCATTGATCCGACGACCGCGTTGCAACGCACATCAAAGCTGCCGGAGCGAGAAGACAAAAAGTTTGATCTGCATTACCTTTTTTGGCTGTTTCCATCTCTTCTTCAGTCCAGCGAGAGCTCTCATTCATTTCCAGATGGGCTGTAAAAAAAAAAAAAAAAAAATAGAGAAGCAGCGAGTTAGAGAAGGCGGGAGGAGGCGGGGAGCGGGCAGTTGTCATAAAGTCAGTTAGGGAGTGACTGACATTAGGAAAGGAAGAAGAGAAATGAATTGAAGAAGGGGGAAAAAAAACAATAAAAGGGTGGGGGAGAGAGGGGGGAGGGCAGTTTGCACTGAAGCGCTGCAGCTTTGGTTGCTAAGGACTATTTGTTTTAGATGGAGGAAGCAGGAAATCCAAGGAGAGAAGTCAGTTAATGATTATAGACATAACAACTGGCTGCTTTCCCTGCATAGGCTGCGAGCCAGGCTGCCAGGAGGGCTGCAGCCTGCACTTATACGTCCTCTGTATGGACTCAATGAAGGGCACAGTGGGCCGGTTGGCAACGCTAACCAGCAGAAGACCAAACAGTGGCAAGGGTGGGGCAGCTTCCTGCCAGCCGCCCCCCACTCCCGTCCTCCTCCTCCACCCTTCGTCACCTGGGGAATCCCTGTGACTGAACCTGTGCCGCGGGAACGACTGCGGCATGCACACACAACTGCTGAAACATCACAAATCCTGTACTAGCCCGGAGCTAAAGCGTTACATGACTGAATTACTATCTGAGATGGGGGCGGGGGGGGGATCTAAGCAGGAAAACACTGCTGAGCACGACTATTTGTTCTTAAGTAATACTTCTGTTTTTGAGGCAGGAAAACTTCAGACAGATTTCATTTGATTTATGCCAATTATGCGTGTCCCTTTTGCTAAAGAGTTTGCAAAAGAAAACAATGAGAACGGAGGAACAACAGTACACTCTGGTGGTTCAGAACATGAGGCTACAAGTAGATCAAAGGTCACCCTGTCTGTCTCGTACCACTGGTGTTGGAACTTCTACGAAATTTTATTTAATAATTAAAAAACACAAACTTTTATTTTTTGCCATTTATTCTTAATGGGTAGCCTCTAGTTATAGACTTCACAAATTGCTCTCTGAGGAAACATTATCATTGGTTTGTCCTACACTTTCAGGATTTTGTGTTTTACTGAAGCAACTTTTCAAATTGCAACATTCATGAGTTGTAGTGAAGATAAAAAAAAAGAAAAGAAAATGAGAGTAGGCTCATTTGTGCTAACCTAGCTCGTTGCTGAGCGGCGGAGTGGTGGTCTCCTCTCCTTCGCTGTTCATGGAGCGGGTATCGCGACCTTTGCGGCGGCCCTGACTGTTCGCTGTTCGTCTTCCCTTGAAAGCCACAGTGGGCTCCTTGTCCTCGGCATCTTCTCCAGAAGTGTCATCCCTGCATTTTAGAGACGGCGACAGAGTCAGAAATGCTGCAAATGAATAAAAGTCAGAAAGAAGAAGGAATTTCTTTTAATTCTGGACATTTAAATAGTTTCATTTTCAATATAGCAATTTTCCCAAAATGAAGAAAATCCATACAGGTCGAAATAAAATGTACATACACAAAGATGTATATGGTTGAATATTAAGCAGAAATCAGAAGCTTTTTGGATCCATAATTATGTTTCTGGCTGGATATGGGACCACTCCTCCGTATCAGAATAGGTATAGTTAATTTAAACCAGTATTGTCTGGCAGGCCATACAATATCGATTTCATTTTCTTCTTTTTCTACTATTAAAGCCAGTTTCATAATAGGATGTGGTTGGGATCCTTGTCCTGTCAGAACACCCATTTCTGCCATATTTCCAGCCATTTGTCCCAAACCATAATGTCCAACATAGAAGGACAGACAAATCGGTGGCATCAGTCAGAATCAGAAGGTCAGACTTTAAAAAAAATCTGTATACGACCAGAAAGCTCCAATTAGTGCAAAATTGTTTTAAAATGGACAAAATTTGAGGCTTCTACAGTACAACGGTGCCAGGAACATCAAAACTGTTGTTTGAGGGGATAAAAAAGGCCAGACTAACCACCTATGGTTCAGACTTTAACCTTAGTTATGGACAATCCCGAAAACGCATTTCCTCTGTCAGAAATGCAAATAATTAAAAAGAAACAAAAAACTATCAGTTCTGCCAAGAAGTTTGCTCAAATATCAACGCAATAAAAATAATTCTAGGCATTTAATCCAAGTTTGTTTGAAAGATTCAAGTCTTTTGAGCACAAAATAAATTAAAGCAATAAATTCAAACTAGAGAACCCAATTCTTTTCTTTTTTATTTTAAGTTATCAAATTGAAGTTAAAATACACATATTTCTGGGCAATTTGAAAAGACTGTGAAATCTTGCTCAGCAAGAGACATTGGGGAGTAAACTGTGATTGTGTACGATATGCCTACACTGCTCTTTCATTCTTTTTTACTCTCAGGATAATTTATCGCGTGTCGCCACAATGGCATGGAGGAGATGGCAACAAAGCTTCAACCTCCTGCTCCTCCATTCATCTTCCTCCTACTCCATTAATCTTGCCAAAGAGAGCTAGTAGCGCTCTAAATATAGGCGAGCCAGCTGTGCCACGGGTGACAGGCAGGCAGCAGGGTGTGCAAAGAGCCAGAGTCCCCAGGCCTATCCTCAGAGCAGGGAAGCAATGGCCACTGGTTCATCAACATCACCATCATCATCTTCTTTTCAGCCCAGATGCTTATAAATATGGGCTGGCATTGCTTGAAACAAACTGCAGGATACAACCTCAGCTGACAGCATAATAAACAACCTAACCGCAGACACAGAGATTTTAGTTCTCAGGCAACAGAAAGCCGTGATATTCCATCTGTTGTTTTTCATCCTCTGCAGGAACCCAGCCAGAAAACATTCTCTCGTTGATCACTGCATCCCCCTGTCCCCCCCCCCAGTGCCACACACGCACGGCACACACGCATACACGAAACATGCAACACACAGTGTGTCAAAGTGACACCTGGTTTAATTATGGAGATTATTTTTCACAAAAAATAAAACACAATCCAGGATTAAAAAAAAAAAAAAAAGAGACATAAGCTTCGAACTTGTGGGAGAAAGAAGATCTGGCATCACGATAAGAATCGGGAAAGGAAGCAGAAAGAAAACATCTGCCGGAGGAGAAAAACCTGGCTGTAGATTTTGAAAGAAATAGGTTTTAAAATCCACTCTAGCTTTCCAAAATATATCCTTTCATTGCTCCATCATATCTGAAAAATATGTGGCATGTGATGCGATTACATTATTTGGGTATTTATGGGTTAAGCTGAATAAAACCTGACTCAAAAAATAACATTGTAACAACTATCAGGATACAAAGATATGCAGTGTTATTTATTTCACCCGTCAGTGGTCATAATGTTGTGCCTAACCAGTGCACAGGGTTATTGTCCTTCTGCTTTCACACAGAAGCCTCAGACGGTGAGTTGTGTAGAGCAGTGACTAACTATTTAGCAATAAATTATTCTGACAATTAATCGGATTTAAAAAAATATTCTACAGATTTTTTTTTATTTAACTTCAAGCTATTTTTATACAATATTAGAAATACATTTTGAAAGATGTAAATAATTAAATTTATTTCTAAAGAAAATAAGCATTTTGCTGACTGAAATGCAATAATATAGCTTTCCTTTGGCGAACTTCAAGCGTGTGAAGCTAAAACTATGAAATTTGAGAAGAACTTAGAACATATTCACAGATTAAGTTTTCTTTTTCATCTTAAATGCACATATTTTTGCAGTTTTGGCAAAATTACTCTTCTGAATATGTTGCTTTTTCATTAAATGGCCTTTTTGTGTACTCCAGTTAACAATTAGTCAATTACTGAATTAGTTGACAATTATTTCAACAATCGATTAATCGTTTCAGCACTACAGTCGTGTATGTAAATACTGCACAGTACTGCAGTTCATCCTGCCCACTTCAACAATGTGAACTATTAAAAACTATGCATCAGGCTACAGATGATCTATGGGTAACAGCAGCATATGCAAACCAACAGTGACTATAGAAAATCACTTAAATGTCACCAGGAAACATTTTCTGGTGACGACAGTGAAAAAACAAAAACAAAACACATATAACCTCAGAGAGCAACTACTTAATACTTACTGCTATCCAATCAGTTAGTGGTATATTTTTGATTCATTATACAGTTCTGACTCGAACTTTAGTTTTTGATTAAGTGCATGTCAGGAAATGAACAAATTTCATAGCTTTAACACGGTTTTTCGGTGCCGAACACCTTTCATTTCAGGCACGATTCAGAAGAACTCAAAAGCGGCTCACTTCATTCCATCCTCCTTGTCTTCAGCTTCATTTTTCTCTTCGTCTCTCTCCCCCTCCTTCTCTTTTTCCTCCTTCTCCTTGTCGTCCTGGCTGTTCCGGTTCACTTGTTGCTGTTGTTGCTGCTGCTGCTGCTGCTGTTGTTGTTGTTGTTGCTGCTGCTGCTGTTGTTGCTGCTGCTGCTGCTGTTGCTGCTGCTGCTGCTGCTGGCCGTGCTGCAATTAAACAACAAACATCGGAGTGCTCCAGTAAATTTCACATCTCCAAAACATTTCACGGTAGAGCAGGTAGTGGATTTTAACTGTTCGTATTCATGTTAGAGTGAATTCTGTAAAAAGCTTCGGGTTATAAATATCCAACACGCCGGTCGCCTGAAGGAAAAAATAAATAAATAACGCGTCTCGTTAAACATCTTGAACCACCTTCAGCTCGACAGCGCGAATTATTTAGAGGAAACATGTTTCATAAGCGAAGAGAAAAACATTTGTTTTGATGGATAAACACTTTAGACCCTCAGGTCACAGCACCTTGTCGAAATAATTATACCCTTAAGTATTTAAATAATGATTGCCTCCATTTCCACCGCTGCTTTGGCCCTGATGAGCCCATCACTCTGAAACAGAATTAATCTGGACTAATCAGGCTGCCTGACCTTTTCTAGATTGCTGCTTAGCCTCATACTTGTGCTTTCTAATAAACTGAAGCCTTTTTTTTTATTAGCCTCACTAGTAAAGGGGTTTTCTTAAGGCTACAGAGAGATTCATCACCTTGAATTATATTCCTATTAGCTAAACTTATACTCATGATTAATCGTTGCAAGATCTCTGCTTGATTTAAATATTTAATATCTAAAGCGGCATTTTTTCCACCCCGACCACATTTTTCACAATCTATTTATGAGCAAACTTCAAGTCACATCATAAGTTAAGGTGCAACAACATCTCCATTCTCTGGAGATCTTACCCACAAATAGTTTTCAAAAGTTCGATTCTTCAGCAAAGATGCAATGTTTAATACTTTACCTCCACACGTCACAAACTCCGGTCGACTTGGCACTTAGACGAAATGACTTCCCCAAAGTAAGTTTCTGAACAACATAGGAACGAGAAAAACAGCCTTTTCTGTCTCGAGCGTATGTGCAGAATCTTCGTTTCGCTTCAAATCAGCTACAGAATGCCCGCTAACCTTCAAGCAAAATCTATAAATTGTCAAAAGATGTAAAACAAAACAGGATATGAGAGTTCCGAAATTATAGCAGAGCATTTCTGCTGTATAACTGCACCCAGAACCACTTCCTCACCAGCTTCCTGCCTGTCTGGGGTTTCGGGGTTAGAGTTCAGACTACTACAGCCACACACTCAGACCAGAGAACCTTCTATGCTGCATTATCTTAATAAACTCACAATTGGTCTCTGCTAATAGCTGTCTTTGCATTAGCTGCTTCATCCAGGGAAAGACAAGCTGCCACCGTCTACCGGCACCAATGCATAGACTGACTCATAGATGTTTTATGGTAAGTGAACGTTAAGTGGAACAAAAGTCTCTCTCTTCCTGTATGTCATCACTGAGGCCCAGAAACCCCGTGAAATAATCTCCCCAGGGCTGATCTAGTGACCGCCCATAGAGAGGGACGAAGCACTTTGACTCAGTTTCTATCCGGCTCATGCAATGTACAGCAATGCACTTTCACTTCCTCCTCTGAGCACACCTTTTCCGTCACAGTGAGCTCATTAGATGTGACAAAACATGTGGAGCGAACGTCAAAGCACAGACTTCATCAGGAAGGCCAGGAGACGTCACAATACGCACAGGATGAAAAGGTCGTGAGCAAATTAAAGTGTAGCCGTTCCCACCGCGTCTGATGAATGGCGTCAGATGAACAGGCACAAAATGTGGACGGCTTAAGGAACAAAAAAAATAAATAAAAAGAGTGTAGAAATGTAATTAGCAGAACTAAATGAGCTTTGACAGACTTGCGGACTTTTTGAATATCTCGAACTCTTGAAGTCTTGTCAGACCAAGCTTACCTTGTTTTAGGTCCGTCAGAATAAGCAAAGCTGACATCACAGTAAGTACAGAAGAAATGAATCAAAAATGTATTTATTGATGTCTTCAAAATAAAAAGTTTACGGAAATATTCTCACTGGTATGCTTTTTCAGATCTGCCCACAAATTCTCCAGAGGACTGATAAGAGTTTTGTGATGGTCAAAAGAAAACATCGACTTTGTTGGCCTTCAGCCACTTTGTAACCACCATGGCTGTGTGCTGAGGTCAATTTCCTGTTTGCGTCTCAACTTTAACATCCAGGCTGAAGTGTGTAGATGTTACTTCAATATTTCCACCATAATGTTCTTTTTATGAAGCGTACCAGTTCCTCCTGCAGCAAACTATTCCAACACAAATGCTGCTGGCACTCTGATACTTCACCGCTGAGAAGTGTTTTTTTTTTTTGTTTTTTGTTTTTTTACAAATATAACAATGGTCCTTATGCCCAAACAGTTGCATTTTAGTTTCATCAGGCCACATGACGTTATTCTGGGGTCAATTCCCACAATTTGGACCAAAATACATTAATCTCTGTGACACAGAACTCGTCTTCTTCCCGATATGATGGTTGGTTAGTCTCATCATGTCTTCACTACAACGTATAATTGTTTGAACAGATGAACGCGGCACCTTCAAGCATCTGGAAAATCCTCCTAAGCATGAACCAGACTGGTCCAATCCGCTTCCTAATATCTCGGATGATTTCTTTTGACTTTCCCCATTGTGTCAAACATGAAGGCAGCATTTTGAGGTGAGGCTTTAAAGTACATCCACAGTTGTGACTCCAAGGAACTCAGATGTGTCAGTTTCTAAAGCCATGACATCATCATCTGGGCTTTCCCTCGTTGGTTGGTGAAAGAGGCCGTTATCGTTCTTGAAGACATTCGTAAATACATCTGTGACGTATTCTTTCCCTCATTATGTTTGGTGTTTAGTAAATGGAGATTATTTTTGGTGGTTCAAGAGGAATTTGGTCTGAATTTTCCTTCCAGTTTAGAGTTTTGCCCTACATCGCACCATTCTGTCACACAGAGAGTCCAATAAAGCCCACTGAATTCTGTGATTGTGGCATGACAATATGTGAAAAAGCTCCAAGAATATAGTTCATATTTCAAAATCCTGTAGTTCAATATTTTACAACACACACAAAAAAGGTGTTTTCACAAATGTTTACGAAGGTTGTAAATGATTTGCAACATTTTCCGTTCTGTTCCTCTGCATATAAGTGCAGAACAGCTTTCTGTTAATAAAAAAAAAATCATCAAAAGATATGTTGCTAATTTTTGCCAAGTGTGTTTAAGAACAGGGAATATCATGACTTTCAGAGTAGTAAGTTACATAGTAAATAAGCTTCATATCCACCAGCTAATGACTAGCGACAGCAGTATATGCATTCATTTTCAGCTTCGGGAAACCTGTACATGCACACAATATTAACATAATGTTTCCCAGTCGGATGAAAATGTGATTTTAAGAGGTGATAGTACCAGAGATCTCCCTCGGCGTCGGTTCCTCCGCACTATGTTCTTGTAGTTTTCATTCTTTTTGGTCAGGTAGTAAAAGAGCACACACTCTGCCACCGTCTGGAATGCAAATTTAAAGGTTTTCACTTCCTCTGAACACAAAATCACTCCAAAAATAGCAAAAAGAAAAAAAAAAGCATTTCATACCTTTCTCTCTAGAAAAGAAGCAATCAGGCCAAAGTTTTTGGGATGCTGGATGAACCTTTAAGAGGAGAACAAAGCTGATCAGTTTTAAATCGTCTGAGCTTCCAGAGTAAGACAACAACAACAAAAAATCACAACATAAAAAAAGAGAAACATAAAAGTTAATTTAAATCATCTTAGATGCGGAATGAAACATCCCAGATGACAGTTGCTGGTGAAGGCAGCAAGTGTTTGTTTTTGGCGAGTGTGACTCAAAGAGGAAACTAGAGCTCTTTGTATGTGGGTAACTTAAAAGTCACCAGTTTTACTGTGCGGTCTTGATTTGATTTGGTAGCTCCAAGCCTCCTTCCAGTTCTCACGAAAGGGGAAGATTCACTTCCTTAGCACAAACAAAACAAAACAAAAAAAAGCCCTCACTGACCCATTATTGGTTACGCAAATTTTAAAGGGAATAATGGCACGTTAAAACTCGAGGCGTAAGACGCCGCTGCCAAGAACTTTGTGTAAGGAGCTTAAGTTGACTCATGTGACATTTGACCAGAGAGAAAAGATTTTACCAGTAATAATTACAATAACTGGGAGGGGAAGAAAAAATAAAAAAAAGATTTTTCTCACTTCTCTCGGAAAGTGTCCCTCTCCTGCTCGCTCCACATGTTCATGACCTGCCGGTCCTTGTAAACCTTCATGGGGTCGTCCATCAGCCCGTTCATGTTGATGAACTTGATGCGCTGCTGCTCGGCATCGAACAGCATAGGGGGGATGACGGCCAGCTGCCGCATTTGCTTTTCCGTGTTCTGCACGTGCCACATAGATGGGAAAGAGAAAGTAAAGAAAATCCTGGATTTTCTTTGCTAAACAGACTGCTGCTGAAAGAGAAACCACTTCTGTTTTTGTAATGACATGGCCCCTTTTAAAACCAATGAATTAATAGGAGAAAAGTCAATGATTTATTTTCTGTTTATAATTTAGTCATCAGCACAACCGTGTAGGAGTAGAGATGATTTCTTTTCTTTAAAATAAGCTTTCTTAGATGTTTTTTTTTTTCTTCAAACCTGAGTTTAATAAATACAGAAAGGAAGAATGTTCACATATTTATTTGCACAGTTGTGGTTTCTAGTGTCAAGGAGAAAACCAGAAGTTAATAAAGATGTTTTTTTTTATATATATTTTCAGTTAAACACTGTTATGTATTGTGGAGTAAAAAAAAACGAACATAACCACTGAGTTCCCATTATGACCAGTCAGCTCTACTGCTGACTAAGCAGGTTGTGAAATGCACTGCGATCGATATCAGGGCTTGAAAAGAACAATGAAATGATGCAACACTACAGTGTAAGCAGTTTGATAAACTTAAGCAATAAAAAATCTTTAACATAAGGCTGAATCTTAGATGGCAAATGAGAGTGAAGATGCTAACCTCAAGAAATGTTTGATTTTATTGACATTAATTTTGTGTTGTGGTTGCAAAAACTGTTTCCTTTTGAAAACTCCACAGTTTCCCCAGTCAGATTTTCTCCAATCATATTTTGGACACAAGAACAGGCAGCCGTAGATAAACTGTTAAATCCCTTTGATTAATTGCAATCCTTTAGAGGTCTTGGAAGGAACCAATGATTAGGATGATGGCATTGAGGCCTTCCAAACTCAAAAACAAAGATAAAGCCATCAAAAACCCAAGTGGGAACAAAGAAAAAAAGCTGGTCAGTAATAAGAATATGAGGAAGATTTAATTGCTGCAACGCCAACAAAGTTTTTCTTTTCTAATGACTGATTGATTATTGAATCTTAAACAAGCCGTTATTAGTACATTGTAAATAAAAGCCTAGCTTTTATCCTCACAAAACTGAGAGCAGGTCTATGTTTCTTACACTTAATTTATTAATACTTACATAAAAGTTAGATGACTTCATTTGTGTATTTGAATGTAAGCACTGTGAAACAATGAGTCAGCGTGAGTGAGTGGGTTTAAACTGAGATGTGTTGCATCCAAATGCTGGAAATGTCTGGCAGCCTGCCATCAGAAATCTCCATCATTGCTTCCTGCTGCATTAGAGAGAACTATCTGTTTACAAGCCTGTTTCCTAAGGTAGAGTTTTGTCTTCCTAAATTAATCTTCTTGAAGTAAAAATGAGAAATATTCTTGTGAAAACTCATCCTTTGATTTATTTCATCAATTATTTTTTACAAAATTACAGTTTTACAGAATTATTTTTGCAAGTTAGACTCTTGGCAGCAAACTGGTTCAAACTATATCATTATATATTATATATATTATTATATTAATTAAATAAATAGTGCATTAACTCAGTTAGGGTTGGGCAATTTGGCTTAAAAGTAAAATCCCAGATTTTTTTAAATTTATTTATTTATTTATTTTTTTACACGCCAAGCTCAATTTTAGATTTTAGTAAAAAAAAAAGAAAAAATTCTTTGCTTCACTGCTGAAAAATAAATTACAAATGACAGAAAATATTTTCAATCTTCCAGATAAATAGAAGCTGTCAGACAGGCTTGTTTTGACAAGACGGCAGGCCTTGGATCCTGATAGCATGAACTATGAAATCCCAAAATATCCAGATTTTCCTAAAATTAAATTTTCAAAACCAAAAGATTTGATCAATCAATAAAATCAATTTCTTGCCCGGTTCCACTGTCAGGTTAACAAACTTGAGGTTTAGATCATATTTCAAGGAGAACTCTACCAACAACAAGAACTTTGAAGCACAACATGGAAACTAGAGAGAAACTGATTGTTCTGGGTGATGAAATGTATAAATGGTTTAAAGCCACACGATCTGTGGTCTCCATGGATTGTTAAAAAAATTTAATTAAATTAAAAACAGGATGTCTGAAAACTTCAAAAATAAGTTAAAAGTTTGTAACTGAGTGTAAGGCCTCCAAAACTTCCAACTGCCTACAGATTAGGCAAAGTGAGCATTCTGAACAAAACTTACCTTTCTCTTCCAGACTCGCATTTCAACCCAAACAGTTGCCAAAGGGCAATTTCAGGTGGGGGTCAAACCAACTTTAACAGAAAGAGCTTACCTCATGCTCTGATATTCCATCAATGATTTCGGAGACTTCATGTTCACTGCGGGCTGCGGATGAGGTGAGGCCACCTCCTCGCTGCCCAACGCGGCTGCAGACACACAAACACAGAAATCCTGTTGGTGACTCTTCGGAACGGCGGCCGTAGCAGAGCACTGGAGGCGGTCGCGCTCTGCTGCGCGTCCGGAGTGAAATCCCACCTCTGCATTCGTTCCTGCATCTCTCTCTGCTTGCGGATCTCTGGGAACTGCTTTTCGTAGTACTCCCGCACTTTGCTCTCCTTGGCCCGGCGCCGCGGGTTGTTTTCAATGCGCTCCACTTTCTTCTCCCAGGCCTCCATTAGCTGGTCATACCGCTGGCAGAACTTCTGCTCCTGCAAGATTTTAATCAAGAAAATAACTCAGAGGAAGCAGAGCGACACGCTGAATATTCCAGGCCAAAAACGATTAATCAAATTCATTTAATTAATTAATTAATTAATCATTAATTTGATTAAATAAATCTGATTAATGAATTAATCAAATTCATTTAATTAATCGCGATTAATTAGTTTAATTGTAATTAATTGTTTATTGAAATAATCGTCAAGTAATTTGGTAACCGATTAATCGCTAACCGAAGTATCCAGATTTTTTTTTTTTTTTTTTAAATGCCAATTCATTAAAGAACGTACTGGGAGCAGTAGATAAGCTAAAACGATTCAAAAAATTTGAATTTAAGACAAAAACTCTTTGGAAATATGCTCTATTAAAAAATTCTTAAGTGGCATAGTTTCCGCTTAAGTCAATTAATATTCTGTTAAAAAACACTAAGAACCTTTTACTATCTGATTTTAAGTAAAAAACAAAAACAAAAAATAAACCGCTTAATAAACAGTATTTCTTTAGCTGTAGATTCATCCTTTGTGACGAATGATCAATAGTACACTAATGGAATGCTCTTTTATTTTATTTTTTTAAGTAATCAAATTATTTTCCTCTTTGCTTCACTTAAAAAAACGTATTAAAAAAGCGTAAAAAAGCTTAAGTGGTTAAATGAAAAATCTGCAGAATGTGCCAATTTTATTTATCCGTCAGAATAAGCAACAGAATAATTGATCACTGAAATAATCATTAGTTTGCAGCCCTAAAATGTTTTATGCAGAGTGGGGATTTGGAGCAGAGGTCTGGCAGACAGACGGTGCAGTTTTCCTGCCTCCATCACAGACATCCTATTAACCCTGGTGGAGACATGACCCTTAGAGGCCCCATAAACTACACTGCGATATCTCTGCACATACAGCTGCCTCCCCCATAAAATGAGAGGAGAGGAGTGGAGACACTAACCCATGGCTCAGACTTTCATTCTGTCTTGCATCAAATACGTTTAAAAGAGAGGAAAAGCATCGATCTTGCAGACATTTGACGGCTGATTCGCAAAAAGCCTTCATTTTTACAGCCATGCTTTTTGGATTTCATTTACCAACGCCGCCAATCAAAAAACGACAACGTTTCAAAAAGCTCACTACAGCGTTTGGCTGAAAATTAATTCAAAAGACATGGGGAAATCTTTTTCTATTCATTTTCTGCTTTCCCAGAGACCTGAACAGAGCGTTTTACCTCTTTTTTTTTCTTTCTTTTTTTTTTTCCACTCTTCGGTTGGTCTAAAATGGCCACTCACTTCGAGGAGCAGCTGGCCCGGTTTCACACCAGTCATCTGTCATTGGCCGAGTCCCAGCTGAGTCACAAACGGAGTTTTCTACTTACCCACTGCTTACGAGCGTGATTTCTCCTTTTGAAATACAAGATGAGCTTCTTCCTCATGGCGTGGTTTCTGCATGGATAAAAGAGGAAAATTAGGAATAAACCACATGACACTGAAACAGAAAGAGTCTATATGTCAACGGCTGGACTTTACGTTTGTCACATCTTCCTCTTCGTGTCTATTGAATGTTTTCCCAAATGATTTTATTAAGAGATGTCATGTGACAAAACCAACACAAAGCAACGTGCTGGTAGATGATGGATGATTTTCAAGGTTTTGCAAATAAAATCCGAAAGGTGTTGAAATTAGCGAGCTCAAATTTATTATGATATCAATAGATTTATTGCGACAAGTTTAACTGCAACATCCCTAAATAAAACAAACGCAGGCAGTATGTTTTGTTTTAGTAAAAAAAATATCAGGAATTTTTGTTCCACTTCTCAATTTTGCAAAACTTTAACTTTATCTAGCTCATACAAAACCCCAATGAAAAAAGATATACATTTCATTGCTGCTTCCAGATAGTGTGAGAAACATTTTGACTGCCATGAGGCAGCGTATTTGCACTTTTCAACCTCAGTTCTTCGTAGCATGAATGGTAAATAAAAAAAACAATCTTACAATACACTTTCACATGAACAGAAACAACTCCGGTCTCGAGTGCAGCCGCTCGATAAACTCAATCTCGCTCCTGGGTGGAAGGGACAGCGAGGGGAGCCAAACTTATAAAACTTGTCTGCGTTTGGAATGGCCAGACTCGCAGCTTCAAATAAAGGTCAAGGCCAGTAATCTCCTTAGGCAGCTGCTCGGTTTGTCTCTTTCTTCGCTGCAAGACAAGGTTTTATTCCTGACACTTAATCTGTCACTTGTAAGGTCATGCTCTCCACTGATTAATGTAATCTTAGTCTATGTTAGACACTTCGGCTGAGCTGCTGGTTCCCGCTGGACCAAGGCAAGGACACATGACTTACAAAAAAAAAAAAAACAGAAAAAGGGTGCCATCCATTGGTGCATAAGGTAATCTCAACATAATATGGCTTTTATGAAGGGGAATGAACATGCAAAGACTTGCCTCGTCTAAAAAAAAAAATCAGATTTCTAGAAATAATTACATATGCTGAGCCATGCATGAATTTGGAGGAGGAAAAATAACTGTAAATCCAGCTGCATAGAGGTGATATACCCATGTTGTGCATAACAGGTGAGAACCTATCTGGTGAAGCGAGCACGCACACGCACGCACGCACGCACGCACGCAAAAATTAAATCCAACCCTGATAAAGTAGATCTTCTCAAAAGACAGAGATGGTATTGTCCTCTGCACACCAGATGGCAAAAGACGGGATTAGCAGCCCCGTAACCCTGCAAAAAGGTTCCCTTTGTCCCGCTCTAAGCACGGGCGCTTTCTAAGATATCGGAGAACTCTGTAATTTGGCATAATACTTTAAAAAACACGAAAGCTGAAAGATTCATTATATGCAGGCTTGTGATGGATGTTTTGCAGTCGTTTTTGCTCAGGCTTGCTAGATGAACAAAAAATAAAGGGAAAAAAAACGGCCTGAACTTCAAAGTTCTGTCCTCAGCGTGTGCAGTTACACAGGGATGTCGGCCTACTTTTCATCAGCTGACTGTGTGTGTGTGCGGCATGCAAACCGGGAGGAGGGGTTTGGGCTCACAGAGATCCACAGAGATATCGGTAGCCATCGCTGCCGGCGGGGATCAATGCCAAACCTATCAAACCGGTTAACAAAACAAAGAAGCTAATTGTGTTCGGTCAAACTGACACGCTGGGATTTAATAACGCGCGCACAAAGACGGAGTGAAAGCGGTTTTCAGTTAATTGCTTTGAGGCAATAATACTGATCAAACGGCACGGGGATCAAAAGGAGTGAAGACGGCAGTGAGCGGTTAATAGTTCAGGATTGTCTTGTGGTATGCCGCTGTGCCAGAGCTGCACTGTCAGTGGTGGAAGAGAAACCCCATGACAACCTTCAGATGCGTCTCCATGAGTTAAAATCTTCTTAAAAAACTTCACATGGATGAAACTTTTAGTCACCGATGCTGCTGAGCAAAAAAAAAAAAAAAAAAAAAACCTGCTTCTAAAATCTAATTTTTTTTGGTCACCAGATGAAAATTAAATGCGACATTTTCCGTCAAATTATTTTTTTTTAATAATTTGTGATTCTGTAACACAAAAAAAAGAATGTCCATGTCTGCAGTCTCATGTAAGAATAGAGTTTAGGAGAACTCCAAGGCTTCGTTCATGGCAGGTATTGATGCTCAATTCCGATTTTTGGCTGAAATCCTTTTTTGTTGTCATTGAATCTACTAATTAAACTCCACCACAATAGACATCACACAGCAGCGTACCGTTTACGAAAGAAGCAATGGATGGATCCATTTAGGGAACGATTTTAAAGTTTATTCACCAATGGGAGCAGACAGCATCGTCACAAGATCATAAGGCGAGGGAAGCTATTAAAAAAGAAAGCAAAACTAACAGCAATGTCCTTTTGTGGAGCAACAACGGCAACTTCTGTAGAAAAGTCTGTTTGGATGCGTCGTCAGACCAAGAGTGGTGGGGTTGTGACGTGATTAGGCCTGTCACGATAAACAAATTTTGCTGAGCGATTAATTGTCTAAAAAAATTATTGCGATAAACGATATTGCAATATTGTTTCAAGACCTTTTGACACTGATTTAATGTAAATGACGTAATAATGCATTTGACTTCCTACCATAGATAACACTGGAACTGATAAACTAAATAAACAAAACCAAAAATAAAATTGATTCTCAGTCTCCATTAACAAAAAACGTACTTGAATAAAAACTAAACAACATAAAGCCAAAGTGAAAATAAATACGGCATTCAACCAAAAGAGTGCAGATTATGAAGTCTGTATGTGCCCTTCAGCAATCACTAGACTTAAATAGAGAATCTGGGCACATCCGACTACCTAATGCAGTAGTTCATACTACACAGTGTTGTTTTTTTTTTTTGCCCCCATTTTCTTAGAACGTTGGCCGATCTAAGATTGTCGCTGGTGAATTTGGCTCACATTTACCTACTGTGAGAACGTAGGCTAAGTCACTGCAGAGTAAGATCGACCTGTCACAATAACACATGCTGCTGGACAATAAACTGTCCCAGAAGTTATTGCGATAAATGATAATATTGTTGTTTGAGACAATTTCCAAGCAATATAATGTAATGGCATAATAATGCAAGAGCACATTTTCAAAGATCAATATATTTTACACTCTTATGAACATTTAACACTGGAACTAGAAGACCTTTTAAATATCCGATATAAACAAACCAACAGAAGCAACAAATAAAGTGAACGATAAAGTCTGTCAATAAAATTGTCCTCCAAAAAACAAACCAAAAAAAAGGGCTAATTGAGACCTTGAGAGTTTTGTCATTCAGTTTTTGGTAGAAAAAAAAGAGTGAGAGAGTAAAATGACAAATCATGCAAATTAAAACGATTGAGCTTGTTTTAATTTATCGTGATTAATTGATTTACTGCTTATTGCGACAGGCCTAAGATGACTAAACAGTCGACAAGTTAGAAATCTGACAGAGTACTCAATGACTAAAATAATCATTAAATACAGCCCGAGTCAAGCCCTCATGTAATCCCGACTGATGCCATGAACACACAGGAACTGCTCGAGTTATTCTGACATGCTGTAGTTGATTATCTGGACGTCAGAATATGACGGTCGTCCCTAATTTTGATATTTCTTAAACAGTCCAGCTGTTTCCTCCCTCAGTCACGTGCCGTCATGTTAAACAGTCTCATGAGGTCCGTTGTCTGCTGCTCCTCATCTCTTGTTCAGAGATCACCTCCATGTCGTTTTCTGAAATCTATCCCAATCTCAGAGAGTCAGCGGTGAACACATGCAGACGCTGGCCACGGTATGACAAATTCATTTGTTTTACTTCATTTAACACCCAAGTGTAAATTAAATAAGTGTTAGTCTGGCCCATAACCTTGAAAATAAACGACTGAAAATGAGCCCCGTTATTAACACTGCATCTGTAAGTGATAATTATAATCACAAGCCAACAAAATAGGCACTGTGGTCAAAACTCGGAAAGTTTCTGCAGCCTTAAGTTACATTTTAAAGGTCATCAAAACATGAGAGCGAGCCCTTCTTCGCATCACATGATCATTCTTTAAACCCGGTCTAAAACAAGGGTAGACCACAGAGTGCATTTGTTTCAATAAATCCTTCCTCATACTAAATCAACACGTAATCGTGTAAAACTCTAAATATGAACATCCAACATGTTTGTAGAAAACATAAAAGCCACCAGGAGACAAGAGTTCCATAGCCCACCCAGTTTTTTTATTATAAAGCCCAGTTATGTAGCCCTACAGACCTAATTACATCACAGCTGTGTTGTCTGAGTGAACAAGATGTTGCACACTTGACACTAAAGGGCGGAGTGCGACACACGAGCATGACTGGACATTAAACAGGCAGCTGAAATATGATTATTCCCACAAGTTTTACAGTTCAACATGGGCAAGTCCTACATGATGGGCTCCAAATGTAAGAGAGACAGAGTTACCAAGCAACAAAGCAACAAATTTTTCAACAACGCCGAGTGAGCGTCTTCGTGGGAAAGCTTCTGTCTGTCCTTGAAGTGAACATCGGAAATTGGCCAATGTCTTACCCAAGGACACAGTGACACAGAGGGACAAGATGCACAGCAGGCACTGAGGCAACCAAGAGTTGTTAGAAACAGCAAAACCAAACTTAAAAAAACAACACTATTATTAACTTATTGTGGATATTAAATTATTAGGGATGCATGACACCCCAATAATAAAGTCACCAGCATCAACCAATGTTAGTAATTTTTTTTGACTTATTGATAGTAATGTGATTTCTAAAACTGGGCTAATATTAAAAATTATTAATAACAGCTATCCGTTTCCATCTAATTGCCATTTGTGTGTGTATTTTGGGAGGGGCAGGAGTTTGGTCATGTGGGATTTGTTTGAGCATATGAAAATGATGGTGATGCAGCACAAGACTGTGGGGTTTTTAAGCAGAAGCAGAGAATAGTTGTTTTGTTTTTGTAATACAAATCCAGGAATCTTTATGCATTACAACATATCCTTCCTCCCTGCATCACTGCTCCCAACAATATGTGTTTACATCCCTGCTGTCATTTGCAGTTTTTCTCATGTAAAATAAAAATTTCTCCTGATATTTGCATTTTTCTGTTTATAGTATTTTCACTTCTTCCAATAGCTTTTTTAAGCACAAATGCACATGCACATTTTGCAATGTTCTTTTTAAATTACCCAACTCAGCTGCACAGAGTCTACAGTTTTCATAGCTACACTCGTAAATTTACAAGTCCTTACTGTACAGCAAGTTGTTCTTAATTCAGTTTTTATAT